TGCTGTCTGCTATGGGCAGTCCACACCCTCACTGAGGTGTTTGGAGTCCAAACCCCTGAGACTCTGGCCCCTGCCGGCAGGGTGTGTGCCTGCTGCAGTGCGGATACAGCTCCTGGTCCAAAGGCACCCTCCCCCAGAACAGCCCTGAGTCACAGCCAGCAAATTCGGAGAATCTCTCTTCAGGCTTTCTAGAGTACCCGAGCTAAGCTGGATGGTGCCAGGATCAGCAAGGCAATGCAGGGATGAAGGTGCTGAGTGTCCAGTGCTGTGCTCACAAGCGGTGCCCCGCAGAGCTGCAGAGGAGACTGCCTGTCCCTGCAGCCCAGGCTGTGTCCCAGGAGGGCTCAGGCAGTGGGCACCCCACTCCCACCACCCTCTCCTAGGTTTCCAAGGTTCCTCTCTCACAAGCATGAAGGCACACCGCACTTGGTCTCACACTTGGGCTGCCTTGGCCCCTTGGTTTTGGACCCCAAAGCTAGTTTTAAAATTATGACCCTTTCAGTACCATATTTTGTTCCCAGTGCCACAGCACAGAGAAACAGGGTGGGCTCCCCAGCAGCCACAGGGGCTGGAAGTGTCTTCAGTGGAAGCCTGACGCCTGCCAGGAGCACGGCACGGGTGCTTTGCTACTGCCTGTCCTGCCCGTGACCTCGGGGTGCAGCTGCCTGCAGCAACCGCCCTCTCTGCCTTTGCACCACCTGGACCTGCTTTGTCCACGGGGAGTCCTGCTACGTGCTCAGCAGGCATTATTAGCCCGACTACTGAATGAGCAGCCTCTCCAGGAGCAGCAGCCCCCTGCATCTCTTCACCACTAATCCGGCACCCTCCAGCCCCCTTCCTGGCATCACCAGCTCTGCGGGTGCCCACGCTGAGGGCAGCCCCTCTGGAGAGGCGTGGGGGTGTGTGGGGCAAGCAGCGTGGACCCTGCACAGTGGCGGCGGGTGGAAGAAGCCGGATGCGGGGGGGTTGCTGCAGGCAGTGGAGCTTGCAGCTTGTTTATGCAGGGAGGAGGGGGCTCGGGCTTTGTGTGGAGACGCTTTGGCAGGGAGCCCCAGTGTGACCGCCCAAACATGGCACCGTGCCTTGGGTAGGATCCTGCCTGGCAGCGGACACGTCTGTGCCCACATCTCCTCTGGGTTGGGGTGTGTGTGTGCCCATGCCCACCCCCAGCCTGGTCATTTGCACTGTGGCCCTGTGGAGTGCCACTCAGATCCCTCAAGGCTGTTGCCAATGTATCTCGTTATTTAACTTAAAGACTAGCGGAGCAAAATCCCCAGGTGGGTTGACTCCCCGGCAGAGCAGTATGCTGCGGCTCACCCCTGGGGCTCTGTCTAGGCTCAGGCGCCAGCACTGTCGCAAAACCACTCCCAGCCAAACAGACCCTCCCAGAAAGCTCATTTTAGAGTTTTTCAGCCACATCCCCTACCTTGATTTCAGTCCCCTCCTTTCCACAGAGGGTGCTTGGCTGTTCCCCCAGGCCCGTCCTTGTTTTCAGCATCAACTCTCTGACCTGCTGTTTTTCCCCAGCCACCAATCCTGCCCCAGCAACGCCTTTGCAGCGTGGCCAGCTTGGCTGCTGCTCCTAGCCACAACAGGGACAGAGCTGGTGGTTTGTGTGAGCAAAGTGACGCTTGTGTGTCCAGGTTTAGTGGGGACAGGCCAGCTCTCCCCAAGCCCCTGTGCCCCTGCCTGCAGGAGCAGGACATGGGCAGAGTGCCTGCCTTTCTCACACCAGCCGGCAGGTCTCACAGCTCCTGGCGTTTTTCCCTCACCATCCTCACTTGGTGAAGACCTGATTTTTGTGGCCCTGCAGTTTTTCAAAAAGCTTGAAAATACAACCCTCCCGGGAGCTGAATAAGCAGTAAAATTGAGCCTTCATCATTCTTCAAACCGCTCCATTTCCATCCCCTTGTTTCCGTGGCCCAACGCAGCACGTCTGAGCCCGCAGCGCCGGCTCTTGGCACACAGCTTTCTGCACGAGCAGGGCTCTCAGCCTGCAATGCAGTGCAGCGCCGCTCTCTAACTGCACGGTGTTTGGTGCAGGGATCACAGCAACCGCGTGTGTTTGGAGCAGTAACGTGCTGCCTCCTTCCCCACTCTGCTCCTCCACTGTGCGCAGCCTCTGCTGGGATCAGGATGGGGAGGAAAGCCCGCTCCTCACTTTGCTGACCTGCCTCTGAGCTGTGCCAGGCGTGCCAGTGCAAGGCGGAAGGACTGGCTGATGGCTGTCACGTTGCTGTCCCCTCCCGGTCCTGTCCCTACCCTGCCTGGTCCTTTTGAGGCACAGGCAGCCCCTGCCTCCAGCCCGCATCTTGCGCCTCGGCCCTCCGTGCTCTCTGGGGCCAGGCAGCGTGGGCGCCAGCGGGACCTGCTTCCACCTCTCCCGGCTTCCTCGTTGCTGGGGCCAGCAGCGCTGATCGAAGCCACGGTTAATGCCTCCGCCTGCAGCTCCTGGGGCCCCCCCGGGCTCCTCAGGGCAGCCCTTGGCCACGAGCAGGTCGAAGGGGGAGTGACGCGAGACTTTCTGTGCTGGAGCTTGAACCTTAGCACCGCTCTGCAGCTGTGACACTTATCTGGCTTAAGGGATCAGGCACGGGTTGTGTAAATAGGGCCAGCAGCTCCTGCAGAGCCAGCATTACCCCAAAAGCACCCCTAAGCCAGGCCGGGGCCATGCACGTGCCCGGCTCGGCTCCATGCCCACCTCCCAGAAGCCCTGATCGCACATCTCAGCGCTCATCTTCGTCCGAAATTTCCCGCAGGCTGGCGGGAGGCCTGCCTGCTCAGCACCTGCGGGCTCCTCTAGTTCTCTCTTTAAAAGCTGCCTGTGAGATGGAAGAGCAAGGACCTGCCAGGAAACCTTTCCTTTTAAATGGAGAAGTCCCCATCCCGAAGGCAGGCGCGTGGGCAGGCTGGTACAGCCAGATGGGGTTGGGCCAGGAGCTGCCGCCAGCCCCCGGGTGCTGCCGAAGAGCCTCTGTCTCTGCTGTGACATGGGCTCTTGCAGACAGAGGTCCTGGGTGTTTCGCCAGGAGAAGAAAATGAACCTTTCTGCTCGGTCCCGTTCCCACCGGGACATTGGCAAGTCTCCCCAGCCGCCTGAGACAACCGGGCCAAGCCCGGGGTACGTCCCCACCCACGCTGGCTGTCCCGCCAGGACGGGGACATCCTGCCATCCCCCCGGCAGCCCCCAGCGCCATCCCCCCGAATGGCCCCCCAGTCCTGCTGGCAAGCACCTGTCCCCCTCCCGCTCCCGCCTGCCCGGGACCGGCAGTGCCGCAGCTTGTCCCGGTGCTCCGTGACTGCCCAGGACCGCTGGCGGTCCCGGGGCTCCGGGCCCGGCGCGGCAGAGGGTCGCTGGCGCCCCGGGGAGGGCCCCGAAGCCCTCCCGACCCCGGCGGGGCCCCGTGGCTGCCCGGCCCCAGCGCGGCGGTGACGGGCCGCCGGGCCCGTGGGGAGGCCGGGCAGGGCGCGGAGGCCCCGCCGCGACGGCGCCGGTGCCCTTGGGTGCGGGGACAGCGGGGCCCGAGGCGGGACGGCTCTGTCCAACACGGGCGAGTCGCCCCGTCCCCGCCGCCGCACGGGGCCCCGGTTCCTGGGCGTCCCGATCACCCCCGCTCGCGGACGCCCCGCCGCCCCCGTGAGCCGCCCCGGGGCAGCCCCCCGACCCTCCTCGGTGCCGGTGCCGCAGGGACCGGCCCCCACCCGCCGCCCCCCCGCCGCCCGCGCCCGGTACCTGGGCGGGTAGCGCCGCCGCTGCCGGTCGCCCGCGCTGACCGTGTCCCGGGCGAGCAGGAAGCCGGCGGCGAGGGAGCCGGCGCCCACCATGGCCAAGAGGCCGGCGGAGCGGCGGGAGGAGAGGGCGCGGGCGAAGGTGCTGGCCATGGCGGAGCGGAGCCGCGGGGCGGGCGCGACGGGAACGGGAACGGGAACGGCGGCAGGGCGCGCGCGGGGCGGGGAGCCGGCCGGGCGCGAGGGGCCGCAACGGCAACGGCACCTGCTCGGCCGCCCCGCCCCGCCCCGCCCCGCCCCGCCCCGCCCGCCGCCTTCAGCACCGCGCACCGGACAGCGCCGGAGGGGCCGGCCCGGGGCGAGGCCCGCGCAGCGGGAGCGGCGGCCGCGGCTGCGCGACGGCCCGGAGCCGCGCGTGGGGCGCGGACCGGGGTGGGTTGCGGGGCCGGCGGGCGGTGCGCGGCGAGACCGGCCTGGCTCGGGCGGCTGCTCGCCGCCCCCCCCCCGCCGCGCTTCCCGCCGCTGCCCCCGCTCCCCGGGACGAGGGCGGACGGTCACCAGCGGGGCCGCAGACGCCGCGGGACGGGAGCGGCGGCGGGCGCTTCCCCGGGCGTGCCGCCCGGCTTCGCCGCCGCCCCGGGAGCGGCCGCGCCGCTTCTCCGTGAGGGGCTGTGGGGGTGAAAAAAGAAAAAAACAAACAAGCGAAAAAAAAAAAACCCCGCGCGGTTGCCGTGGTAACGCGGGGAGCGGCGGCGCTGCCGGTGCACACGTGCGCGCGGCACGCCCGGCCGCGCAGCACCCGCCGCCAGGGGTCGCCACGCCTCGCCCGCCCGCGGCCCGGCCGGCCCGCCTCCCTGCCCGTCGATTGGCTGGCTGCGGCCGTCAGCGGGTCGTGATTGGCCGGCGGCCGCGCCGGCAGCGCAGGGTGCGCTCGGAGGCCGCAGGTGAGCGGAGGGAAATGGCGGCGCCCGGCGTGGCGCCCCCTGCTGCCGCCGGTGGGGCCGGGGCGTCCCCGGTGCTGCGGGCCGGGGCCGGGGCCGGGGCCGGGCGGAGAGCGAGGGGCGCGGGGGTCGGTGCGGGTGGCCGTGCCGCTGCTGGGCCCGGCTCGGCGGCGGTTTTCGGGGAGCTCCGGGCGGCAGCGGCGGCCCCCTGGCGAGGCGTGGCCCGGTCCCCGGCGCGGGCCTGCCGCCCCCGCGGCGCCGCCACCCGTCCGCGTCGCTCTGTCCCGGGGCGCCCGGCCTCCCCCCGCCGCGGCCTGGCCCTCCCCGCGGCGGCGCTGCGGCGGGCTGTGCGCGGGAGGGCCGGTGCGGCGGCGGGCGGGGCCGTGGCCGGGCCTAGCAGCCCCTCCCGGCTGCTGCGCGGTCTGGCGGGGAGGGGGCGGCTCGCCGCGCTGCCGCGGCTTGGCCTGCCCGTGCCGGTGCCCGGGTCCGTGCCGGTGCCCGTGCCGGTGCCCGTGCCGGTGCCGGTGCCCGTGCCGGTGCCGGTGCCCGTGCCCGTGCCCGTGGCGGTGCCCGTGCCGGTGCCCGTGCCCGTGCCGGTGCCCCCGGCCTAGCAGCGCTTGCGGCCGCGCCGCGCCGCTCCGCCCGGGCCGGGCCCCGGTAGCTGCCCCCGCAGGAGGAGCCGTCGTCCCGCTGCCCCGGGGCCCCTGCCTCGTCGCCGCCGGCCTCGCCCCCCCTTCGGGAAATCGCCCGGGGCGGCCGGGCTGGGGTTGGTGTCTGCGCCGCTCCCGGCGCCCGAGAGGAGGGGAGAACGGCAGCGGTGCCTTCGTTAATAAACCTCTATTAACAGTCGCCGTCTCGGAGGAGTTGTGATGCAGTGAAGTTTCATGCTTAACAATCTCATCAAATCTCCTTATTAAAAGCATTCTCCCCAGACAAGGATTGATCTTACTGCCACAGTTGCTCTGTGAGCAGCATAACACGTGCTCTGACGTAGAAGTGATAAGCCAGGAGGTTTTTATGGAATTTGCTAAATTTGGTGTTGTCTAGCAGAAGGAGCTCCTGGTCAGGAAACAGGAAACGTTTCCACCACTGCTGTACTCTGTCTGGGTTAGAAGGTGCTGATAGATTTGGAGTTACGAAAGGTGCTGCTCAAACAGGCAGAACTGTATGTTTAGAAGCTGGTCTTCATCTTCTCGGTTGCAAGCACACTGAACTTCTGTGTTAATAGAACATGGAGAGCTTTCTTCAATACACCAAGTCCAAATAGCTTTTAATTATTAACTATAGAATAGGTGTTCTTTTTCTTCCGAAGCAATTAAGTGTCTGTGATAAGAGTAGAGCTTTTACCTTTCATATGTAAGTATGCAATTAACCTTAATATAAATAGCCTTTGTGACAATGGGGGTAACTGGTCATGCGTGCAAAGGTACTTCACTGATTAAGAGGTGAACTTTCAGGGTTGTTTTTTTTTTTTTTGTCTCTTTGTGTTGTTTGCTTTTAGTGTCTACAGCAGTTTCATGTAGGAATTTTAACAAAACATTGCCAGGATCAGTATTTTAAAATGCCAGCTATATGTATTCTTAAAGGTCACAATCCTGCAGATACTTGACTTGGCTTAAATGAGGCTGTGGGTCTATATGCTAAATCATCCTTGCAGCCCGTCTGCGTGCAGTAGTACCTGTACTCCCCTGGAGTGCACAGGTCTCCACTCCTAGAGCTGCCTCTTGTTTTCTTTTTTGGTGGCTGCTGCCACCAGTGATGTGATCAGCCTTGCTTGGCTGCTGCAGTCCTTGTCCTTCAGCCTTTCACTGCAGGGATTGTCCTTTCGAATCCTGCATCATCACCTATAACAGGCTTTGTTTAAAAACCAAAATGAAACAAAAAACCAACATCCAAACCCACTCTTTTAGTGGTTAATGCCACATTGAGTATAAGGTTAATACAAGACCTGATCATGCCTTCTTTTTTCTTAAATTGCTGGTACTTCGGAAGTGGGGCACAAAGAATAACTCTCTTTGAACATCCTTATCTGAATGGCACTAGAATGATCTGCTGGGGAACCGGGAAACAACTTCCTATCTAATTTCTTATCACCAACATAGGGTAGTCTAGGGAGCTGAATTAGTCCCAAGACACTTAGAGGCAAGGTCTACATCTCAGCTTCAGGCCGTGTGTCAGCAGCTTCTGATTGCTGTTAGGTGACTGTGGTAACCTTTGATATGATCGTGTGGCAGATCATAGCTGCCCTTCTTGGAAGAGACTGCAAGAATGTCTTCAGCTGTAGCGGCTGATGTGTACTTCCTTGTGTATCTGTGATGGGACTAGGAAGCCTGAATATTGTGTACTCAAAGCCAGAACCATCTTGATCTTCTTTGTGTGTGTGCCAGAGCTGTGTTAATGATTTTGTCTCTCTTGGACAATACACCCAACAGCATTAACTCAACACTTAATTTTCTTGCTGTGATTAGTGAGCGGTGAGACACGTAAGCTCTCTCACCGAGCGGGGACTGGTCTGAATGTTTGACCTCCAGGAGTAGATAGCTCAGGAAGCAATGAGAATGATGCAGAACCATCAGCACTGTGTACTGTCAGCATCTCTCATAGCAAATAAATAATGGTGTGGTGGTGGTGTGGGCTGAGCGCCATACAGGAGCCTTGCTGGTACCGTTTCTGTAAGGGAAGTTGCCACCCACCTGGCACATAAACTCATTGATAGCCCAGCACTAGAGCTGATTCAGGCGTGGTGGCAAAGCCTCATGTTGTTAGCCTTTGATACTAGAATAGAGCTCCACTTGCCTGATTCCCTTTGAGAGCAACAGTCTGTCTGAGTTTTAGATGCCTTAGTTACGCTTGTAGCTAAAAGTTCACTTTCATCAAGAGTCTGTCGTCTCTGTTGGTATAAATCTAGTCAGATAAGGGATCTACTTAGAGAGAAACTTGTAAAAAGTTTTGGTTATAGCCTTTCCCTTTTCCCACTCCACCTGAGATCACAAGGCTTTGCCTGTTAACACCAAGGGCATGCCTGATGCCTCAGTAGCCGTCGGCTTTCAGTGGGAATCTGGATTTTACCTGGTTGGAGTATGTCATGTCACAGCCTCTAGAATAGCTACAGAGTGAGGCAGAGGCTTTTTTCTGGGATAGGAGCAGGAATGTAGAGAACTTGCTGCTTTTTTAGTTCTTAGGGCAAAGGTTTTCCTGCTGCTTGATATGTTTTTTTCCAGGAGGGAGGAGAGAGCAAGGGATTGGAGAAAACAACCCTCCTCCTCTTCTTGCATGATTTACTTCATTAAATGATCAGCCATCAAGCTGATAGTGTACTTGCTAAGGTCTCTTTCTGCACTGGCGTGCTGAGGCAGCAGGGCACAGGAATGAAAATGGTTCCTGAGCATGTGGGGCATCCTACCCTTGTCCTTGTCTGGAAATAGGGCTGAATGGAGCACACAGTAAAATGCCTGTATAGCCTAGTCTGCCGATGCTGTTGCTCTCACCAGCAGAGAGCACTGATGAATTACAGCATTAACTCTTGCTGATCGGGACACTTTCCTGTGCTGGGTGTGCACTGTGCCTCAAAGCTTGTGTGGGAGCAGGCAGCACTGGGCTTGGTGCACAAGCAGAAGACCGGCATGAGCTGGGAGTCGGGCAGAGGAGATCGTCCTTGGTGTGGTAGGTGCAAAGTCTGGGCTTGGTGTGTCACCTCTCTGATTTCTGTTGGGTTGGTGTCAGCTCCGCCAGTAGATGTGGCGTAGTAACCGATGGGTTTGCTGACGAACCAGTGCCTGGCAGCATGGCAGTGGGACCTTGTCTGGTGCTCTTCTGCTCCAGCACTTTCTCTGAGCGCATACCTGTTACATCTCCTGTCCTTTCTGGGAGAGCATACAGCTTTTCTGTGTGGAGGCATGCTTTATTTATACCCCTCTTTCCAAGGGGATTTCACAAGCAGCTGGATTGCTCTGTGGTTTTGGGTTTTTTTTTGCCTGTCCCGCCCCCTCCCCAGCTCCAATGGATTAAGGCAATCTCCCTCTATTGTTCCTGGTGAGGGGTTTCTCACCTACCATGGTGAAACTGTGCTGGCAGCAGGCTGATGGCATTCGGGTGTGCCTCCTCTGCTCTGTGAAGAAGAGCTGCCAGGGGACTGGGCACTGGCAGCTGTATGTGGCAGTATAGTCTTCTGCGGTGTACTGGCTGTAAGGGAAATCATGCTCAAAAGAGGAGGAACTACAGTAACTCTTAGTCTGGGGAGTGCTGGAAATCATGTGAGAGCATGAGAAGCAATGGTAGAGAGTGTCTCATGTCCATTTTTAGGAAGTACTTAATAGCATGAGGTGTTCACAATGTCCTCTTCTCAAGGTTGCGCTTACTTACATGGCAGGAATGCTTTTCACCACTTTATAGTTGGGAAAAACATGGTAAAGGGCAACAGCTTGACATTTATGTATGTGCAGCTATGGTCAGAGGTGAACAGCTGTGTCCTTGGTGTGTACAGGTCACGCGAATTGTGTATGCAGACTCTGTCACTTCTGTGGCAGACAGTGCTGCTATTGTAGGTGACAGTGCGAGACACACTCCTTTCCTGGTGTTTATAAAGCACAGCTTGTATCCCGATAATCGGCTTCCATAGTCACAGAGTAAGTCAGAGCCAGTTGCAAACCCAGAAGCCCTGACCTGCAACCCAGACTGTTGCTGATTCTTCCTCTGTGTCCTCTTTCCTCGCCAAAGAGTTGTCACTTCTTCCTCTTCCCTTGTCCCCACAAAGTCACGTGCCTTTCAAACTGGTCTCTGTTACTGTAGGTCTTCTTGAGCTGAAAGGATGAAAACTGGCAACTGGAAAGTCACCGTCACTGTCCTAAGTTTCATCCTAACTTCTGGATTCCCAGCTGATGTATTTGGGTGTATGAGCCTGCGAGAGTGTCCACTGTCCCCTTCCATGATTTAGACAGCGGCTTGGAGCATGCATCATTGTAAGGTTTACATTATTTCAGCACTGGCGGTGATGCTGTCCCTTTCCCAGTTGGTGCAAAGGGGTTCATTGCACAATGGAGCTGCCTGTCTAAAATGATCCTGAATCCTGGATCCCCTCCCACCCCGAGGGTCTCCTGCTGCTCCTTTCTTTTGTGCTGGGCTGCATGTCCCTGGGCTCGCTCGTGCCAGATCAGTCTCTGCCCTTTCACCATCGCCTGCTTCCAGTAGCGCAGCCGGCCCCGGCTCACCTTGCGTTTGACCTTCACTATCGCTTTTTGCATGCTGTGATTCCAGAGCGGGATGGTCGGCCACCGAAGCTGCAATGTCGTCCCTGACGACGTCCAGTGAGGGAGAGGGCTCCACTCCCAGGTTTGTTGTCGGTTCCAGGGATGATGAGACAGACTTTCTGGGATCAAACATGAAGACAGACGAAACCGATTTCTTTGAAGATGATGAAGAGGAGGAGTCGGTAAGGGGGTCCTGGCCTTCTGGCTTGCAGCTTCTGTGCAGAATTCCTGGGTCTCGCCCAGAGTTTGCATGGTTGCTGCTGAGCCTGCAGGTAGTCAGGACTTCAGGGGACATGGCACCAGGCTGCGTGGCACAACCTTGTGGAATGGCAGTGCCATTTCTGACAGGACTTACTGCACTGTCATGCTGCCATACTTGTTGCCTCATGCTGCAGTAAATCCTAGCCTTTTCACTTGCAGATTTTTTTCAGGTACAGTAGTGGATTTCTTTGTCCTAGCAACTTAACCCTGACACTGCTGTAAACCTTTCTGTTTCACCAGGGGAAGTTTTGCAGAAAACTCTGGGAACTGTGAAAAGGGCAAAGGAGGCATTTATTCTTTTCTGTATCCTCCAGGATCAGGATGCAGAAAGGAGAATGATCTCCAGTGCCTCACTGCTTTTGGCCCCTATTCAGTCTTATATTAAATGTTACATTTGCTGTTCTGCCCATGGGATGTGGATGCTGCAGGGACATTGCTGCTAGCTGTGTGAACTGCTGGGACCACATGCCAGTGCAGTGGTCTCTTCCATTGCCTCTGTACCCTGAGTCTCCACTGCAAGTGGGTTGTTCACCTAGGAGCTCACACGGGCTTCCTCCAAGCCCACAGTGTTGTGCACCTTGATGCTTCAGTGGGAAGCTATTAGTCAGGTGTGGTGAAGGGTTTGGAAACCCTTTCACTTCCCAGGTGTTATTTGTGCTGTGGAACCTTGGCTTTGCAAGTTAGTGCAGTAACTTCTAAATTCTCAGCTCACAGTTTGAAGCCACAGATCTTTGTTCTGGGTAACCCGCAGTCCCTGTGTGCATCCCTTCAGATGATCTCACTGTGTTTAATCTTACTTGGGCCAGAATTAATGTCAGGTTAACAGCCAGTCTGGGGTTTCTAGGTGGTGATGGAACGTCCACCACCGACTTTGGCCTGTTTCTCTGTTATGGTTACCAAAGCTTTTTGAATGCACACCTTCTCTCTTGACTTACTCAACTTCATCCCACTGGATCTTATCGTACCGTTGTCAGATATATGGAAGAGCACTTGGTACTGTTTCTCTTCTAATCATAGCTACTTACTGTTTTAATCTCCCCTTAATTTTATTTCATATAAGACAAACAGACTGAGCTCCTGGACTTTTTTGCTATAAAACATTTGTGGCTCTTCTCTGAGCCTGCCTAAGTCCACTGACTGTCTTGGTAAGTTATGGGCCACAGAACATGATGTGGGATTCCAGTCCCTGCTGCTTGTTCAGGTGCCAGATACTTATTTCTGACATTAGCATTAGTGCCCAGTAAGAGGAAGAGGTACGTACTACCTGGCACAGAAGCAGTTGTTTTGGGCTGCTCCTTAATGATGTTCCTGAGTGGACTCTAGTGGGAGTTGAAAGTATGTATGGGTTCAAGCCTAGCAAGAGCTGGGATTGCATAAGGTTGGAAGAAAATCCCTTGTTTGTTCTTCATTGCTGCATTTCTACGCTGTGATAGTTAAATTTGGTAAAGTAGTTGACTTTGTACTAAACTGATCTCTGTCTTCTCTTAGCCACCTGAACGGCAGATTGTGGTTGGAATCTGTGCCATGACCAAAAAGTCCAAGTCAAAGCCCATGACACAGATTCTGGAGCGTCTGTGCAAGTTTGAGTATATCACAGTGGTGATTATGGGGGAAGATGTTATTCTGAACGAACCGGTGGAGAACTGGCCCTCTTGTGACTGCCTAATATCGTTCCACTCCAAAGGTAAAATGTCTGTGGCAGGCCTTAGCCTACTTGAGATCTGGGCAAGGGAGCTTCCACTCATTCTTCTACCCTGCCTGCCCCCTTTCTGTATTTCAGGATTCCCCCTAGATAAAGCGGTTGCTTATGCCAAGCTGTGCAAGCCATTTCTGATTAATGACCTTGATATGCAGTATTATATCCAGGACAGGTAGGTGTCTATGATCCACTAAAGCCCTTTCCCTCTTCCTTTGTCTGATTCCTCTCCTCAGCATGCTGTGCAAACTTCATCTTCCTGGCCACAAGCACATGAGTGAGGTGGGGAGGAAGGGGACCTTAGCAGAGGCTTTTAGGGGGTTATTTCTCCAAAACATGGAGGGGAATAGATCTGGGGGTAAAACCATTGAGAGTTAGACCTGTTTCATTTTCTGGTGCAGATGTCTTGTAAGGAATGGCTAGATGAAGCAGGAAGTGGAAGAGGTCTCAAGGAACGAGACTGCCATGACTAAAACAAAAAGACTAGTCTCCAATTAGAGAGCCAAGTAGTGGGATGAGGTTCTGGGACAGAAATTGGGAGCAAGGCCAGCTCAGATTCTGAGGAGGATATGTTAGTCAGACCCTTCAAGAGGCTTCTTAGTCAGCTCTTGGTAGAGGCCACCAGCAGTCACATATGTCAGTGCATACAGCCAGGCTGCTTTGGCTGCCTATGTGTAGGGCTGGTACCAGACCCTGAACCTCCTGTCATGTCTTTGGGTTGTGACCAGTGTTCCTGTGGCGGGTGCTGACATGTACCCTGAGGTGTAACTAGTGAAAGAATTGCAGTTTCCCCACTGACACAGGATGAAAAGAGGCTCTGCTGCATCTGCCTGGCCTGGGTCGTGGGCAGCTCAGTGTGACAGGGCACCCTTTGAGAGGGCAGATCTGGGTAGGTGGTGTGTGCTGGGTGTGTCACTGTGGGTTGGGCATGTGCTAGCAAATGAGCATCCGTTTTTAGGCCAGGTAGAGATTTACTCTGGGACATCTCTGTCCGGAGCAGGACTGAGTCATGATCCAGAGCCTGGAGGTCTTATCTGGAGAGCATGTGCTGAGAAGTATTTATGCTCTGTCTTGAGGCTTTTTTGTATGAATTTGACTTTGTTCTTCATTGGTGGGAGTGAAGTCTTTCCCTAAACATGTACTGATGACCTTCTAGACTCTTCTGACACTGTTTCTGTCCTCTACAGGCGTGAAGTGTATCGGATCCTTCAAGAGGAGGGAATAGACTTGCCCCGCTACGCTGTGCTCAATCGAGACCCTGATAGACCAGAAGGTCAGTGTCCAGGCTCTACTGAAAGCCATTTTCACATACTGTACTATTTAAGATATTCTGCAAAGAACAGGTACTGACAATCAGCTTGAGGAGGCCTGATTCACAAGTCTGTTCTTTTTTGCGGATAAAGGTCCCAACAGCAGAACTGGCTGACTGGCCAGGACTGACGGGCTTTGGCCCTGCCCTGGGGCTGTCTCACCCTTTCCTAGCATGCTGCTGCTGTGCTTTGTCTTTAGAGTGCAACCTGGTGGAAGGAGAGGACCATGTGGAGGTAAATGGAGCTGTTTTCCCAAAGCCATTTGTAGAGAAGCCAGTCAGTGCTGAAGACCATAATGTGTATATTTACTACCCGACGTCAGCAGGTGGGGGCAGCCAACGGCTCTTCCGGAAGGTGAGGAGGGGGGCTGCAGTTTTGGTGTTGGAACCAACAGATCTGTGGCTCTGAGACCAATGTGGCTTCAGGAGGGAGTATTGGGGCAGGTGAAGGGGAAAGGAAGGTTCTGTGTTGGGGAAATCTAGACCTTCTTAGAACTTTTAGTTCAACCCCATCTGCCTGGGAATTGCAGAAGGACATATTTTAGTGGTAGTGCTAACTTTGCCTTCCCCATCTTCTCTTTGATCTGTGTCCTGTCTAGCGGTCACGGAGAACTGTGTCCCTTACTGAATTGCATGCTGTTTTTTCCAGATCACTTTCTCAGTCTATCAAGATGATTTTATTTTTTTTAAACTCATGTTCCTGTCCTCTAACATCGTTGCTGCCCTTCTCAGCTTAGTGTCGCTTGCAGATTTGATAAACACAGTATTTATTCATAGATTTCACAGGGAATCTGCCCTTACTCTTTTCCTACACTTAGCCAGAGAAGAGTTAACAGCTGTATTATATCTTTTTTTCCAATCAGCTATGCATCTGCCATTAATAATTGTAAAATGATTGTTTCCTTAGCTAACTTACAGGCATGACAATTGAGGTTGTGTCCAAAGCCCTACTGAAAATGAAAACAACATCATCCTCTGTCCATAAGTCAGCTGTCCTAGAAAGAAGTTAGATTGATCTGATTATCACTTGCCATTTATTTTCATTTGCTTATTAGCTAGGCTGCTTACTTTCTATGTCTTTATCCTCTGGTTTTTTGTTCCATATCACTGTAGTGACTGTAGTCAACCTAATGGTCTACAGTAACTGTTCTCCTCTTTAAAGCCTGGAAAAAGACATACCTACTGCCTATGTTTTGGAGTCTCTTTTGTCCTCTGTAAATAAGTGTGCTGTAATAGCTGGGTGTTCTGAAGGGCATCCTGCTAATTCTTTACCTGTGGGATGAAACCTACGCTTTTTGTTCTTCCACCTAAGAAAAGGATCCCTGTGCTCTTCCCTGAGGTGTTTATTTCTGTGCTTTCAGATTGGCAGCCGGAGTAGTGTGTACTCCCCAGAGAGCAGTGTGAGGAAGACAGGCTCATATATTTATGAGGAGTTCATGCCTACAGATGGCACTGATGTGAAGGTAAGGAGAAGCCTGGAATAGCTCCTTCCTTCTCCAGGCCTGTGGTAGCTGAAGGTTGGGCAGTCCTGCTTAGATTCTGGAGAGCTTATTTAAGCTATGAGGTGCTAACTGTGCAGCTTGGATCCCAAAGTGGGGAACGGGTGTTCTGTAGGTCATAACAGAAGGGATGAGGGAAACCATCTGATCTTCTTCTCTCCGTGTCTTCAGTAGAAATACCTTCTGGAAGCTGCAGTTAGTCTAGGTGGTTATGTCAGGTGTAACTATTTCTCTTCCCAGGTGTACACTGTTGGGCCAGACTACGCCCACGCAGAGGCTCGCAAATCCCCTGCTTTGGATGGGAAGGTTGAACGGGACAGTGAAGGGAAAGAGATCCGTTACCCAGTCATGCTGACTGCCATGGAGAAACTGGTTGCCCGGAAAGTCTGTGTAGCCTTTAAGGTCTGTGTTTTCTCTCCTACGCAAGCAGGATACTGCACGAATGTCTGCTTCCAATCTCAGTCAGTGTTAAAGCTTGAGCTCTGTTACCCTGCCGTGTCTCCGGCGTGGCAGCCTTCCACACCTGATGCTAGTTGCCATCTCTGCTGGCCAGGTGCAGCTGGTCAGACATGATTGGGAAGGCAGGAGGGCCTGCAGCAAATACCCTCTGTGCTGGCAGGTAGCTGGTGTCCAGTGTACATCTGAGCATTTAATATCAGATTCTGAACACGGTTCTGTCTCTCTGTCTGTCTGTCTGACCTGCTCTAGTCCTGCCTTTTCCGATTCCTGTGTGGAAAGCTTGGTCTTCTTTTTTTCTGTTTTGTTTTGTTTTGGTTGGTTGGTTTTGATCTGGCTTTGGTGCACACTTGTGTTCTATTATTTTATAGGCCGGCAGAGTGAGTGTGTGTCTAGGTACGGTTACGTGACATGTTCAGCAATGTCAGCAGAAGAAGCACTTTGCTACTTGTTTGTACCCCCGCTGCAATCTGCCACCCTCACACTTGCGTGGGTACAGCTGTGGGCTTGTTCTCCCTTATAGCCTTTGCCACATAGCGATGGATGTCTTTGCTTGCACCACTTCTTGTCAGTACTTGTCAGTCTGGTTCAAAATGGTCAAATTTAGAGGCAAGACCAGGAGAGCCAGGAGCTGCTCTGTCTTAAGCCTTTAGAGCTCTGGGAGGTAGGGGGGCAGCCCTGATGGCTTATTCTGGGGGCTTGTGGGTTGGGCCTGTGATACAGCTACGAGGGTGTAAAGGTTCCTCTCAAGGGCTTGTTACTCTTGGCTCGTGGCTGTATTTTCACACACTTCTTCAAGGCTCCTGAGGTAGTCATGGAGTGGAAGACAGTGGCAGCACCACCACCAGTGGAGCTGAACGGGGCGGCACAGCCTGGCTGGGTCTGTGCGTGTGCCCTGCTTGGTTGGGTGGCTGCCGTCCCCTCGCTGCACTCCCTCACAGCGTGCCTGAGTCCCGTGTCCTCTGCTTCCTCGTGCAGCAAACGGTGTGTGGGTTTGACCTCCTGCGGGCAAACGGCCACTCTTTTGTTTGCGATGTGAACGGCTTCAGTTTTGTGAAGAACTCTATGAAGTATTATGATGACTGTGCCAAAATCCTCGGGTATGTAAAATTTAAGTTTTGATAGCAGGTAAGGTAATTCATAGCAAAGTGAAATGAATCTGAAGTCCTGATCAGTATGTTGGAGAAGTCTACAAGTGGTTCGTATGGGTACATTTGGTCTGCAGGTGAAAGCTTGGCTCTGGGAGCAATGAGTTAATTATTTTTAGCCCCTGGAGCTCCTGCCTGCATTGGCATTAGCTGTCTTTGTCTACAGCTAGATGTATCTTTCAGGACTTTTCGTTGGATGCTAAGCCCAGCTGCATTATTGATGATGTGAGGGAAATTGGTGTCCCTTTGGAGTGCCCTAAGTAGCCCATGGTATGATAGATATCTCTGTGGGGAAGATGAGGAGAAATTCTGTGGCTCTCTTCAAGTGTTTCAGCTGGATCACTAAGGAGGAGGTGGAAAACCAAGGGAATGGAATTTCTTGCAAGTTTTATATTCTGATTTCTTCCAGAAACATAATAATGCGGGAATTGGCTCCCCAGTTTCATATTCCCTGGTCCATCCCAACAGAGGCAGAAGACATTCCCATTGTCCCCACAACTTCAGGCACCATGTGAGTACCTGCCACCTTCTCAAAAGAATTCTGGTGATGGCTACATGAGGGACAAAGTGCAAACCCTGTCCAAGGGACAAATATCACCCAGCATCATGGTGTTGTCCAGCTGCTCTGTTGGTTGCAACCCTGAAATGCCTGTGGAAAGGCTTAGCTGTGCACACAAAAGTGGTGATAGGTGGTAAATAAGTTTGATGAATGGAGACAAGCAGTCATTGAAGGAATTAAACAAGATGCTCACGTGGCTTTCAGAAGGCCCAAATTCTTGATCAGCACAGGAAACAGATTAGGGCATCACTGTAGCTGGCTCACTGTTCAGTAGGCTGCTACTTGGAGAAAATGCGTGTTGAGCTGCCAGTGAAATGGGTGGAAAGCAATTAGCTGAAGTATTCACATTACCTGTACACTTGGCAGACTCTCATTTGATACTGTTGACCTTACTAGTTTTCCAGTACGTAAGGCTAAAAGGCCAAAGGCAAAAGTCTCTTTGTGATCCTCAGCACACTTGTGCGCTTTTGTGAAGTGAACAAAGTCAGTGCTATGGAAAAGGTAGATTGAGAGTATGTATTAATTCTTCCTTTACTGTGTGATCATTTGGAAAAAGTTGGAAAACACAAACTGCGCAGCTCAGCTATTGTAGTATCTGAAAAAGCAAATTCTTGCAGCCCTTCTGAAATTAGCCAGCCCAACTACTGGTTTGTGCAGGTGGCTGGTTGCTGTAGGATCTTCCTATGTACAGTTCTTACTGATTGCTTGAAAACAGGACCCCAGCTGTATAAGCATTCTTCTGAACCAAGTGGTTTTTTCTAGGGTCTTTCTAAGTGGTCCCATGAGCATTACAAAAGTTGGGCATGAAAACATGCCTGGCACCGTTCACAATGCTGTTTCTGGAGATTCTGTAACATCCAGCCTAGTCCTTTCTGCTGCAGATGTGGTTCTGCCTGTCATATTACGGTACCGTGCTGCTTTTCCCTGATAGGAAACCAGGTGACCTGGTAGTATATGCAGTACTTTGTCTGCTTTTAGAGCCTTGGCACTGTGCCTGGTTTAGTCTGGGAGAAGCTCTGCCACTGATAAGGGAAGCAGCTGTCAAAAGGATGGAACTGAAAGAACCATGGGAAACTACTTTCTGATGACAGTTCTGGAGTGTAGGGGCACATTTGTCAGGTGTATCTTTTGTTTCCCCAGGATGGAGCTTCGTTGTGTTATTGCAGTCATCCGGCACGGAGATCGCACCCCAAAGCAGAAGATGAAGATGGAAGTTAAGCATCCCAGGTAAGAGTCAAGGCAAGAAGATGCTGTGCTGCTGGGAAGTGAGGAAGGCCCATTTTCTGAATCAAGAGGAGGAGCAGAAGGGCTGAGTGCATGGCAGGCAATGGTTTTTCCTGGCTCCATTCAAGCAAATGCTTTCTGCCCATGTGAGAGGAGCCCCCTTTCCCCATGAGGATCCTGGCACCTTCTGGGTACACAGTGGAAGAAAGAGTGAGGGTCCGCTCGGTGCTGCAAATGGAAGTCCCCCACTAAATGGGAAGCTAGAAGTTGCTTCCTTTCCATACCTGTGGCTGGAAACACGTTTTTTTTTTTTTTCAGAATTTCTAAAGCACAGGAAGGAGCCAGTGGGTCTGCTTGTTCTCACTGAGGAACAGAGCACGAATGCCTATGTAGGGATGGCAGTCCTTGTAGCAGTGAAACAGCAGGAAATGGATCAGGCTTCTTTGTTCTCTGTCCAGGTTCTTTGAATTATTTGAGAAATATGATGGCTACAAGACAGGGAAGTTGAAGCTGAAGAAACCAGAGCAGCTACAGGTGAGGAGAGTCCTCTCTGGGGTTACTGTGTGGAACATGCAGGTAATGTGGATTGCATGAGGCAATTCTTTGGGAGGGTGGGAGCCTTCTGTTGCACAAGCGCTCCCTTTCTCATTCCCCACTGCGTGCATACTCAGCTGGTTGACAGTATGATAGTAGAATGGAAACTCTGCTGGCTGATGTGAGTACTGTAGGATGGGGATGACGTGATGCAGCTTGCCCACCTGTTGTGGTTACCTCTGGTGAAAGACAGGACCGGGCTAGGGAGTGGGGCAGTTGGAGGCTCCTGCCTGGTTCTGGATGGGACTGGAGCACAGGGTGGGGGATGAAGCAAACTGCGGTGTGAAAGTTGGTCCTGCCTGAGCTGTGTCTTACGGAATGACGTGTCTCTGATGAGTGCCTGTGTGGACCTGGTGCTGGGTGAAGCCATCTGGAGGCTTTGGCAGGAGTACAGCAGTGAGTCTGAGGCAGAATTGCTGGATGCTTGAGACTGTCTGCTCTCCAACAGGAAGTGCTGGACATTGCACGGCAGCTTGTGGTGGACCTGGGAACCCACAGTGACTGCGAGATAGAGGAGAGGAAATCCAAACTGGAACAGCTGAAGAGTGTCTTGGAGATGTAAGGGTTCATATCTTGGGGAACTGTGAGTTTGTCTCAGAGCTGCAGGTCAGCATGAGATGTGGAAACAAGTTGTGCTGCTGCTGTCCTGGCCAGCTGGCTCCGCAGAGGTCAGAGTCTCCTCCGTGCCCTGTTAGCAGCTGTACGTGAAAGGTGCCATGCTCTTCACATTTTCTCCTGGGCATCAAAACCACTGGCAATTGTTGTTCCAAGTGTATCTGTTTTTGGATAAACAACTTGAGACAAAACTGAGCTTCCTTTGCTACAAGAGAGGAACTGGAGTCCTGGAGGGACCACGTTGATACGAAGCATTTTGATAAATTTGGAACAAATCTTTTTTTAAATAAGGTTGCCAAAAGTTTAACAAAAAGGAGCTTGGGAAACATGAAAATATGTTTGTGTCCTCTTAGTTTCATACAGCCAAAATAAAAGACAATGTGCTGGTGTTGGCATCTTAGAAACAAAAGGGTTTCTCTCAGAACTGTAGTTTGCTGTGGCTTACACAGGCAGTGTCTGTGTTCAAGCCATGTCTGTGGAGCACAGAGGATCAGTTTTTGCTATGATTCCTTCCTCTGCTCTTTCTGCTCATTAGAGTTGTGGTTATCCTCAGTGCAGCTAGCAGATTGGGTTCTTTTTCTGTGATCTCATTAATTCACTTGTTAAAGATGTAGATAGAAGTTAACTAAGGTTGATTAAAGCCCCAGTGGGGTCTGAGAGCGTAGAGTGCTGTCAGCTGAAGAGCAGGCAAGTAAATGGATCTTCGAATTCAATTGCAGAAGTTGTTTGTTTTTTTTGGGCAGTGTGTGCCGGGTCACAGGGAGATGGCAGAAATGTTCATGTTCTGTGGCAGTTGGTGTTGCGGGAGGAAGTCTCTTGCCTGTGCTGTATTTCTGCTGTGTGCTGCCTAGAGACCTCTGGGCAAAAGGTGGGTGGAGCTGATTTGTTTAAATTTTTTTCCCCCTCTCCTTGTGACAGGTATGGACATTTTTCTGGCATTAACCGTAAGGTTCAGTTGACTTATCTGCCTCATGGACATCCAAAAGCTGCAAGTGAAGATGAAGGTAAAGAAACCTGATGTTGCTGCCATGACCTTCAAGCCTGGTGTTCAAGAGTGCATGCAGCTATCCAGAGGTCCTATAGGACTCTGGACATGCAAGCAAAATTAGTGACCTGCATCTTATCTTTGCTCACATCATATGAAGAGCCGGAGTGATGCATAATGTAGTGTACCAGTATATCCAAAATGGTGCCACAGGGCTTATGCTCCCAATTTAATGAGTGTCGACCTATACCTTCAAAAAATAGTGACTCTTAATTTCACACTTGCTGGTTTGATTCCTGCGGATTTTGAGTCAGGCTTCTGTTGAGAATGCTCTGCAAGGTGCTGATGGCAACCTTTCCTTCCTCCCCTCCTCTCCCTCTGCAAGCTCAGCTTTGAGATCTGATGTAGTGAGTACCTGTTTGTCTCCTAGAAGCTCGCCGAGAGTCTTCCCCATCCCTTCTCCTTGTGCTTAAGTGGGGTGGAGAGCTGACACCAGCAGGAAGAGTCCAGGCAGAAGAGCTTGGGCGAGCCTTTCGCTGTATGTACCCTGGTGGCCAAGGTAAGCGCTGCCCGTGTGCCTCCAGCCCTGTGACTGTGCCAGGCTGCCGAGCCCAGGTGACCAACCAGCAGCATGAGGGATGCTCAGATATCTGTGGGATGTTGGCAGCCTCTGTCACTTAGATCATCGCTGGTTTTATTCTTTTGAGTTGACCTGGTAAGGATAAATAATTCAAGTGGGCTTTGAACGCAAAGATATCTAAGCTGGCTAGAGATGTCTGCTGCAGTGATTAAACTTTAGTATGTCTTGGAGCATAATAGCAGTCTTTCAATGAATGTGCCAGTATTCAAAAAAGGGAATCCATTCTAATAAGATACATTCTGACGCAGCAAATTCTGATGCAGCAAATACGAATCAAAATTTATGTATGATTAACGAGGAATTTAGGTCAGATATAGAGAACAGGAAATCTGTCTTGGTGCACAGATAATTCTACCTTGAGATAGGAGAATAGGAAAGTAACATCTTCATATTTTCTCCGTCATAATTCACTAACTCTGAAAAGCATTTAGTACACACACACACACACGCAGATCAACAAGAGCCAGAAGGGGAAAAAAATAAAAGCTGAGATTGCCTTTTTCATCCGAGTAGAGAGTCAGAAGTAATATGCTGCTACTGTATTGATCCGATGAGACCAGTACTGGATACTGCTTATCTTTGACTAGTAAGTTTAATTAATTGGATTTAATTAATTACATTTCAAATTAATTAAGCTAATTTAAATTGAATGGGAAAAGATTTCCTTCTGGAATAAGGAAGAGTCACCTTTGGTGGAAGAGGATCGGGTCAAGGAATATTTAAGCAAACCGGACATACATAAGACCATGGTCTCTGACCACATGCACCTATGAGTGCTGAGGGACATTGCAGATGTCACTGCAAAGCCACCTAAAATTGTCTTTGAAAGTTTATGGGGACTGAGGGAACTGCCTGAGGACTGGAGGAGAGGAAATGTCACTCCTAGCTTCAAAAATGGCAAGAAGGAGGACCCAGGGAACTGCAGGCTGGTCAACCTCACCACAGTCCCTGGGAAGATGATGGAGCAGCTCATCCTGGAAAACATTTCTGGGCACGTGAAGGACAGGAAGGTGACTGGAAGCAGTCAGCATGGATTCACAAAAGGAAGTCATGGTTAACCAACCTGATAAGCTTCTACAGTGTAGTGACTGGCTTGTTTAGATGAGGGGACAGCAGTGGCTATGGCCTACTTTGACTTCAGTAAGTCTTTTGACACTCTCTAGTAACATCCTTGTAGCTGATAAACTATGGGATGGATGAGCAGACAGTAAGGTGGTTTGAAAACTAGCTCAACGTCTGGGTTCAGAGGGTGGTGATCAGTGGTACAAAGTCTAGTTGTAGTCCAGGAACTAACAGAGTAACCCAGGGATGAAGACTGGGTCCAATCCTCTTTAATATCTTCATTAATGATCTGGGTGACGGGGCAGAGTGCACCCTTAGCACATTTGCAGATGACACAGAACTGGGAGGTGTGACTGTTATGCCAGAGGGACCTGGACAGGCTACAGAAATGGGCTGGCAGGAACCTCGTGATGTTCAACAAGGGGAATTGCAAAGTCCTACCTGTGGGGAGGAACAACCCCCTGCACCAACATATGCTGGGGGCCAACCAGCTGGAAAGCAGCTTTGCAGAAAAAGTCCTGGTGGACACCTAGCTGAACATGAGCCAACAATGGGACCTTGCCACAAAGAAGGCAAACGGTATCCTGGGCTGCATTAGGAGTGTTGTCAGCAGTTTGAGGGAGGTGAGCTGTGAGGTCAGGTGCTTGTCATCTCAAGAGCACGTTATTAGCAAACACGTGAGGATAAACTTTCCAAAAGATGAGAAGACTAGGTGCACATGGTGTTGCTTACTGCAAGGTGCCAACAAGTAGAGCAGACTGTCAGTGCTCAGAGACTAAAGGAGGAGGAGCCATAGTGGACAAAGGACATTCATAAACAAGGCCTGTGTGCCATTCTTGAAGGTGGGAATGTTGAGTTAGAAAGGCTGGGGACTTCCTGGTGCCGTTGTGGATCTCTGAAGCCCAGAGCTGAGAGGATCAGCCAGTGACTTGGACAAGAGATTGGGGTGACCAGAAGACCGTGCGCAGGAGAGGCAATTCCAGTCAAAGTACAGGGAGTAGATTGCAGTGTGATGAGCCAAAACCTGAGAGAAGAGACCTGTCTGCAGAGCTCTGGTCAAGTGGAGTGCAGTTACCAGCAAGCTGGGCTGAGCCCTAAGGTGTGGTCGATGCCAGTTCTGAACTGGCTGCACCATATCTGGTGAGCACTGAGTGGCTGCCCTCTTGCTCACGGTGGAGCTTGGTCTGAGCATGTACAAGGTGACTTCAGTCCTTCTGAATCATGGCTTTGGAGACTTGTGCTTCACGTGGTCATCTGTGGAGAGGGAGAGAGCTCATTTTGCAGTGGGATGCTGTGTTCCTGGGTAGCAGTTGGTACATGGCAGCTTTGTCCAGATATACAGCTGACTTCTGGTCTGGTGTTTGTCCTTGTCTAGCAGGGAGTTTCTCTGAGTTGTGAACTCGGATCTGGGAGCAGTTTTCCCATCTTCTCATGCCGTGTGACTGGGTACTGTGCAAAATCATCATGGGATTCCAGGCAGCAGCAAATTAGTCACCACTGCACACTGTCTTTGGAGGGTCAGACTCGAGAGCTTCATGAGTTTCTTTCTGCCATTACGGATCTGGCTCCTGTAGTTGACTCAGCCATCATAAATAAGCCAGCATTTTGTGCCGCAAGATAATTGTAGCTCTGCAGGATATGCTTTGGAAGGCAGGTGCTCCTTACTGAATAGCTCTGCCTGCAGTTCTGATGGCAGCAGTACCTGCTCTTGTGCAGAGAACAAGTAGGAGGAGGCAATATTTTTGGGCATCTTTATTCTGCACAAGGGTATTCAGGCTAGCAGAACAATTATGGACTGTTCAGAGAGGGTTGCTGCAGAATTTGGGCAGCATCAGACTTGACTGGTGAATGCTTAGTTTTTCCCTCAAAATGAACTTTCCCAAGTTAAGCAAAGCCAGAATCAGATTTCTAGTCATTATGTATGGCTAGAGCTGTCTATTTTGGAGGAGTCCTAGATGCTGGCTGCGAAGGTGCTTAATTCTCTACACAACTTTGTTATGCAGGTGTCAGAATATTACTTTTGAGCTTGTTCTCTGTCCCAGGTGATTACGCTGGTTTCCCTGGATGTGGCTTGCTCAGGCTGCACAGCACCTACCGTCATGATCTCAAGATCTACGCCTCAGATGAGGGACGAGTTCAGATGACAGCAGCAGCTTTTGCAAAGGTCCTTCCTCTCTCTGGGGCATCTGTTAGTTCTGCTACATAGGTCTTAAAATACGCCAGTTCTAAAGGAAAACCTCTGGTGATGGGGAAGGAGCTGTCCTAGGAGCTTCCCCCTCTCTGTTGGGAGGGTGGTGGTACACTATGCTAATAGCAAGTGTATGGGGTGGTACTGGAAATTCAGTGTAGTTGCACATCTATGTTACCTTTAGTATCCTGTCCAGGATTGGACTCTCACCACAGAAGGAGTTATTTGTGGCATATTGCTAGTGGTTGATTTTAGAGCATATCAAACCTGTCTCTGAGTATTAATTGCCTACAAAATGAGTGTTCCTTGGATGACTGCACATCCAGAGACCTTTTTCCTTGACTGCTAGATTTAAAAGGGGAATGAAATGTCTTTGGTGCAATGAGGGGTGAGGGTTGGGGAGAAGACAGGTTCATCTGCAGCTAAAACTTGAGCCAAGGGGCATCCTATGGTGACGTTTGCTATTCTTCAGAGCCTCTGCTGTATCAACATTTTCCAGCAAACTGAGTTGGCTGCTCAACAGTTGCCCAGACGAATCTGGGGCTGCTGCAGGCAGAACTGGCCTTTTGCCTCGAATAGCTCTAGAAGCATGCCAGAGTCACTGGTGAGTGTTGGTGCTGTTGCTGTAAAACTGCTCTCCAAGGACAGTTGAGATTTCACTCAAGGTGACTGAAGGCTGGCCATGAATCTACCAGAAATGTTTGTTGCTTGGGTTGCACATAGCTGAAATTTTGTTCTGGGTTGCTTTAGGGTCTGCTGGCCCTGGAAGGAGAGCTGACCCCCATCCTGGTGCAAATGGTGAAAAGTGCCAATATGAATGGTCTCCTGGACAGTGACAGTGATTCCCTTAGCAGCTGTCAACACAGAGTGAAGGCACGACTGCATGAAATCATGCAGAAGGATGCTGAGTTCTGTGAAGAGGATTACGAAAAGGTAAAGCACCTGTGTGGCTTTATTGTGTCCCGTGTCTGAAAGGAGAATAGCACTGCTCCAGTGGTTTGACATGAAGCCTGTAGGTATGTGAACAGCAGTTTGGTTAGTCTGAGATCAGTTCTGGTCAAAATTACAGGATACAAACAGAATTTAGGAAGGCAAAGGGCAGGTTAATAGCCGCTACCCTTCTCCCAGTGAAAATCCTTAGTGTCCACTGTCCCCTTCAGAGTACCCTTTTCTCCCTTTAGAAGTCCCAGTGCATTTTATTCTCATGGGTGTGTTAAAAGAAGAGTTCTTGTGGCTTACTGCATGCTGCCCAGAACAATCCCAGTTGCTGTGGACAGGGAGTATACCTTACCAGATTCTAGATTCATGCTGTGTGCATGTGTGAACAGATCTTTCAGATACGAGCCCTTTTGCGGTCCTGTCAGTGTCTGATAACTGCACAGTAGAGAGCATGGGCTACATCCAGCACAGCAACCAATAAAAGCAGTATAGCTGCTTCTCCAGCAAGTCCCCAATACACTGCTTTTCCTCAGACTCTGTGATCTGCTTACCAGACTGAAATCCATTACCATTAAGCCTCAAAGAACTACTTAAAGCTTCTGTGAAGCCCTTCTGCTCAAGAAAAGAGGCAAAGTGAGAGACGAGTAGCTATTATAGATGGAGGGAGGTCTGATCTGATAGGACCAGTTGTTTACTCCCTCTGAGTTTGGTCCTGTGGAAGTTTTTAAAACATACTTCACTACTCCTAGGAAGTAATAAGTCCAGCTTATTATGATCAGCTGGGTGAATAATTTTTGTAGCTAATCAGAAAGCAGTACAGCTGCAAAGGGCCGACATTTTGTGTTCCCGGTTTGTAAAGATACTAACCAATCTCTACTGGTATCTTCTCTCAGCTAGCGCCTACAGGCAGTGCTTCTCTGCTCAACTCCATGACATTTATCCAGAACCCAGTAGAGGTCTGTAACCAGGTGTTCACCCTGATTGAGAATCTCACCTCCCAGATACAAAAACGCCTGGAAGATCCAAAATCTGCAGGTGAGCGTCAGAACTGGAAAGGTTCTGGGGCAGATTCATTTATTGTTACATCTTCAGAGATCCCAAACACCACTATGGTTTATGTTTGTCTGTAGCAAAGAAATTCTAAAGAAAGTGAAATTCTGCATGTGCTGTTGATGTAGAACACTCCTATTACACTTTCACCTGCTGTTAAAGAGAGCTGTAATGTATTGTAACTTGGGTTTAGAGTGAATATAAGCAGCAGCAGTATAGAGTGGAGAGGTATGCCTGATTTTTTTAAAGCATTTCCTGGAGTAGAGCTCAAGACCATAAACAGGAAGTTTTTCAGTCATGATTTGCTCATCTCCAGGAACTTTCCTAATAACAGTGCAGAGGTTTTTAAAAGGCATCTGTGGGACATGTCACATGATTTATGGCAGACATAAGCCAACAGGCAAGCAGTTTCATTTTTCTCAAGTACTTTGGAAGTAGCTTGTTGCTGCAGGTTCAAACTCCGTGCAACAGGTCCAGTGACTTTTCCAGTCTAGGATTCCTGTGGGTGACATGGTAATCAGAGCCCATCTGTGCTGGGAGAAGTCAGTCATAGCTGTCGCTTGAAATCTATGCAGAAGTAGTCAGGATGTGAATGTGGTTTGGTGTTCTCTACTGTTTAGACCTGCAGCTGTACCACAGTGAGACTTTAGAACTGATGCTGCAACGCTGGAGTAAGCTGGAGCGAGATTTCCGCATGAAGAATGGGCGTTACGACATCAGCAAGATCCCTGATATCTATGACTGCATCAAGTATGATGTACAGCACAACTGTGCACTGAAACTGGAAGGCACAGCTGAACTCTTCAAACTCTCCAAAGCCCTGGCAGATGTGATCATACCCCAGGTATAGCCTGTCCTGCCTGTGTGACAGTGTCTGTGGTGTCAGTTTCTGACCCTTTCCCTGTCTGTCTTTTCTCAATTCTCTTGCATATCTACTCTCAAGGCAGGGTATCACAGGTATTTCTCAGATATATCTCAGTGTTTGTATAAGGCCAAAACCATTTATGACTTAAGATGTGGCAGGGCTGGCTTCCTGGACAAGGGTTCTGACAGAGTCAGAATAATGAACAGCTGCTGGAGCAGCTTTCCCATGTTCATCATAGTGCACTATAGCACAGCTTTGAGCTGAGTGGGTGAGCTGTAGCAACATCCCCTTCTCCACATACAATATTGTACAGGGGAAGAGAGATTTCTGTGTTAAAGTGAAGGCTTTTTCTGGCAAGTTTGTTATTCTTGTCAAAGTAGAACTTGTTCAGCTTGCAGAGTTGGTTTGCTTCTCACAAAACTTATGCCCATGAACATGGGAGGGGAAAGGAGGGCCACATGCAACAGACCTCTGTATTCACCACACTTCTGTCCCACGTCTGGCAGAAACGCTTCATTTATATGGGATGAGCTTCTACCAGCAAGGTCCAATTGCAGTTGTGCCCATGTAAAGCAGAAGTGGTCTTCTAATCTTTTTCAGTGTTCCTGATGAGATGCAGTTTGGCTATTTCCAGCATAGCACTTAAAGTTTCATCTTTGCAAATAGCAGTTGTTGCATTAACGCTCGTGCCAGATCAGGGTATAAGTTTGTGTGTCATGAGAGGAGGTTCCCTGATGGTATTTATGCCTCTCAGCTGTTGGAAGAGCACTGACAGCCATGTCTAGACAGACTGGAATTCTTGTATGAGTCTCTGTCCTCTGTTACCCTCTGCAATATGTGGAAAAAAAAAAAAAAACCAAAGAGGTGATGAATGACATTTTCCTTTCTGTCCTTGCTTAACTGTAGTGGTGCTGCGGACAGGACTGTTGAAGTCCAGCCTCTTTTCATGTGAAGATGTGGCAAAGAACTGGGGTTTGAGCGTATCTATTGTTTTGCTCCTGCAGGAGTATGGGATTAATAAGGAGGAGAAACTGGAGATTGCTATTGGCTTTTGTCTTCCCCTCATTAAAAAGATCCAGTTGGACCTACAGAGAACCCATGAAGATGAGTCTGTCAACAAACTACATCCCTTGTAAGGATTATGCTGCATGATGCTGCTGGTGGGGAGGGCGGCCTTGGAGCAGCATGTGGGAACCGCACCAGAGCAGGGTACTGGTGTGGAAGGAGGCACTGGACATACACCGAAGGACACACCAGGAGTGAGGCACGTTGGTGCTCCTAAAACTAGAAGGGAAATGGAAGGCACATTGAGACTGCTGAGCGGGAGCACGGTGCAACAGAAAAACCCACTGTAGTTGAGTGGTGGGGCCTTCATCCCTGTCTCTGCAAGGGGCAAGCACTAGTATGATGAGGCCACCCCTGCCCCACCATGCGTCTCTTATTAGATTACCAAAAATCTTGCTGTTTCTGTGCCTAGTGCTCTCACTGTTTGTTTTGACCCTGCTGCTCTTTGAGAGTTCCCAGTGTGGGGTTAAATTATTCTGTTAAGCGTGCAGAAATGCTGCTGTATGATAGATGGCAATTCATTGGCAGGTTGTGAGTAATACTGGGCTGATTTTGGTTTAGGTACTCAAGAGGAGTTCTGTCACCAGGTCGTCACGTTCGGACACGGCTCTACTTCACCAGTGAGAGCCATGTGCACTCTCTGCTCAGTATCTTCCGATATGGGGGGCTCCTGGATGTAAGTGTCCCAGCAATGCTCACAGAGTAAGCCTCCCTGCTTTTTTTCAGTGGCCCTTTCCAAGGTGAACAGTGTATGTTTGTAGACTGCCCCTCTAGCCAGCTCCCCCAGTAATGATGTGCATCAGTAGCCTCTAGCCAACTCCATCTCTGCTGTGTTTGCATGCTGCAGCTTCCTGCCTTTCTGGCATGTGGGAGGATTGATCTTCCTCAGCCCTGACACTGCCTGCCTTGCTTGTACAGAGGCATGTTCTCTCTAAGAGCTGTCCTGCTGGTTTCAGATTAGCAGACCACTTACCTGTGTAGGAGGATAGCAGTATTAAGGCGGTGGGCATGAGGGAATTTTTCTCTTCCTGCTTCCTTTAACCCTTTATTTCAAAAGCTTGGTCCTATTATTTAGTGACTTTCTGTCAATTCGAAGTCAAGAAAATCAGTTTGCTTGCAGAGGAAGTGACTTGAGGTTGCAAATGCATAGGGGGTGCTCTCTACCAGAGGGACAGGTGACAGATTTTTAGGGAACTAACTCATCCAATCCAACCTTCACTTGTTCTCATAACCTGCTTCTTGAAGGAACTGGCATGCAGACCCTGAGAAGAGCTCTGCTTTAGACTCTTCAAGAGTCTGCCTGATTTATCTTTTAGTTGTTAAGCAGGGTGTTCTGAAATGCCTTCAGAGTTGGGGGGTGCTTAGCAGGTGTGACTTCTGACGTCTGTGGAAGCTCAGTGTATATGTAAGCAGGAATCATGCAAATACCTCTGAATTACTCACTGAATAAGGTGCTACTTTATTCCCCGACTTGAGTGTTGGAGGATGCTGTGTTGCCAGCACAGGAATATGAAGCTGCATCTGGGTGTGTTTGTACCAGTGGTGTTCATTTCACATCACTGCAGGTGATGAGATGCCCCACAGCAGCATGAGTGGCACTTCAGGTACGGCCGTTCCCTAGCAGTGTTGGGAAAGCACGAGGGGTGGGCTGCCCTACCCTGTGGAGCCCAGGGGACCAGCGTGGCTCTGTAGGCTTTAACTTCAGCATCGTGCATGTAAAAGCAGCATCACTTGATCACTTATTTAGCACAAGTTTTTCTTGAGATTTTCTCAAGAAAATCATGCTTTTCTTGAGACTTCTCTAAAATACTCCGTTCTGTAGGCCATTATTTGAGAATGACCGTGTGTGGGAATCTTCTGTGGGCTATGCTTTTCTCCACGCAGCATGGCATAGGGGGCTTGCAGCTGAATTGCTCAGACCTGCATGTGGACTGTATGGGTAGCTGTAGTGTCCCTCTCTGCAGTTGCTCCTTACTGTAAGCACCCCGCCCTCACTGCAAGGTCACCTCTCTTCCTGCAAGTCAAGCCAGGTGGTTTTTGTCCTTACAATGTTGTTATCTTGTGGAGAGACAAACTCTCTCAGACTCATTTCACTGAATGCTGCAAGGTGTCTGCTGTTGCTTATTCCATGCGACTATTTATGTGTATATATCAGGAAAACAAAGACCAGCAGTGGAAGAGAGCCATGGACTATTTGAGTGCTATCTCAGAGCTGAACTACATGACCCAGATTGTTATCATGCTCTACGAGGACAACAACAAGGTGAGGGATATAGCTGTAGGATAAAATCCTTCATGCAAGGTACAGTCTCTGAGAGATGAGTTCAGCCAGGCAGTTTGTAACCTGAGCTCTCTCTGCTTGTGAATAAGGATGGACGGATCATTAACACAACTGCGAGTTTTTATTTTTAGCTGGGAGGCAGTGACCCAGTTAATGCTTGTTGTATGTAAGCAAAATGCCATTCTGAGGAGTAATACCAAACTTAAGTAATCAATACTATCTATTTTAAAGCATTTCCTAAAGCAAAATAATTTGCTGTTTCTTAATATTAATTAACAGTAGGAAAAAACAAATAAAAAACTATATTTGCCAGTTTTTTCCAAGTATTTTTAGAAAGTATCCAAAAATTCCACATTCATAAACTTTTTTTATTTTAAAAATATACTGATACAGTTAGGGAAGTATATACCAATATCGTCAGTAAGTAAAGAAAATCATTTAATGAACAGACAGAATGTGGAAGCTGATGGTGATGACCATAAGTAGGTTTGGCACAGAATTGCATGTACTGATTCCCAGGTTCTGTGACTCAGGTCCTGCACTACAGGAGGTGGTAGTGGGTGAGGGGAGCAGTTCCTTTCCGTCATACACTGTAGAGTTAGAATCTTGTAGATTCAGTTCCACAGAGCTGATGTGGGCTTTTAATGGTAGAAGTGAAATATTTCCTAGTGCTGTTTCTCAGAAAACCCCTCAAAACTCTGAATAGAGCTCTTAGGAGTAGTGTAAATCTGCTAGTAAGTAGAGATGGTGAAACTTTGGTTTTACATCATTAGTGCCAGATACTGCAAAAGCTCTGGATTCCCTTTGGGGAGAAAAAAAAAAAAAAAAAAAATTAATGTTAGAGGTGGTTACTTAAATCTTGGAACAACCCAACTAAAGGTCCAGGAGGGAATCAGTTTCTCCCTGCCCCAGCGTGTGCTGGTTTTGCAACAGGATTGGATTGGAAGGGGCTATGTTTTAGGGGTGGGTGTGGGTGTGTGTATATATACACATATAGCCCAATTCTGGTTTGGTCCTCTGGTGGCTGTTGTCACAAAATAACAACAATTTGAATGCCTCAGCTTTGTGCTAATAAGGACAGTCCTTTTGGATCAGACAAACCTAGAGCCATTATGTTTGTGGTTTCTTGTTGCTTCTGCTTTCCTTCCAAAAGGACGCGCTTGGGATGCGTGCTGCGCCGGCATGGCAGGGTGGCCCCGGTCCAGACCGTGGCCTGTGCTGACAGCGGGACTGATTTTCATTTCTTTACTTACTCCCCGTGCCTCACGTTCACAGGACCCATCTTCAGAAGAGCGTTTCCATGTGGAGCTGCATTTCAGCCCTGGCGTGAAAGGCTGTGAGGAAGACAGAAACGTGCCCACGGGGTTTGGCTTTCGGCCTGCCTCCGCGGAGGTGAGCGCGCTGGCTGGACAGGAGCTGCGGGGCTTGCTGGGGATGTGGCGAGCACCGGCCCGTCGGCAGCCTTGCTGCTCTGCCAGGCTCTGCTGCCGCCCGGTCCACAGCAGCAAACGTTCCTCTGGGCTGTCTCTCGTGTCCGCGGGCTGATAGCAGGTCTCCACATTCCCTGCCCAACTCCGAGGGTTTTGTCAGGGCAGCCTTTGGGAATGCCGGTATCCCCCGAGCTCCAACCCAGAGCTGGAGCCAGTGCCTGGGCAGTGCTGGCAAAGGCCACGTGCCTGCAGAGGTCAATGTTTCCTTACTGCAGAGTGAGGACAAGAAAGCAGACCAGGGCAGCCTGGAGGACCTCTCCAAAGAGAAGAGCACCGACGAGGCAGACCGTGCACAGCAGAGGTCTCCACAGCCTTCGGAGCCAGTCGGCATTCAGCGAAGGTCACCGCTGATCAGGAACAGGAAGACAGGGTCCATGGAGGTAGCCATCTGATGGGCACCCTTGGTGGTTCTAATGAAGGTTTCTTGCTTGGTGTTGATTTCCTGGCATTCCTTTTAACATGCCAGAGTTTGAGTTGATTCTGGGAAGGGATCTGCAGAAGTTAGAGGGGTTTGTTGGAAGGCAGACCTCCCAAACTCCTCCTCATTGAGGAAGGACAGGGGGAATGCAGGCCAGAGGAATCAATCAGGAAAAGCGTATTAGGAAATGCTTGAGAAACACAAGAATTACCTGGATTACACGCCCTTTAGAGGCATTGGTGTAACCACCTACAAGATTGCGTGCAACCTCTTCACTTAGCCACAGTGACACCTTTGCCTTCCCTTAGACCGCAGCCTTTGCCTCTCACAGTTCAGCTCCACATTCTTGTTCCTGTCTCACATATAAGATCTCATGCAAATAGCAGGTCCCTGCTAACTGGTGGGTTTATTAACAGTGTGTTTAAACTGTCCGGGTTTATAACTGTACCATTCACTGATCTGCTAAAGTAACAAAGATCGATTTTTCTGTTTGTCCGTCTCTCCTTCAGGGCTGTTATGTGTCCTAAGACTAGCTTCACAGTCAGCAGGTAGCTGGCAAAAGTGCTCTAGAATTGCCCCTCCTTTTGGAGGGGTTTCACAGGCATTTTTGCTATCTGTTTCCTGAACCAGTGAAAGCAGAGAGTTAGGGCTTGAGGTATTTGTTAGCTGGCTTCCATCTTTGTGCCACTCATGATGTAATCTTTGCATGCAGCGCTCGGGGGCTCTTTGTAATAGGCACATACTAAGTTAAAAGGAATATACATCCCTGCTGCTGCAGAAGGAAGTCTGTGTCCCAGCGATCCCATCAAGAGTCTTGGGAGACAAGGAGCTCAGTACACGAGTCCCTTCATACTTCTGAAATCTCCACTGTTCCGCAACCCAACACAAATTTGAAATTAAAATGTAGTATGCACTGTCACAGTCTTAGCACATGAGTACCTTTTATGCTTCTTGAAAATTATGATTTTAAGGAAGAGATGTACTTTTCTTTACCTTCAAATGAAGTATAAAGGCTTTTGAGACCAGCGGGTAACTTAGGGCATGACACTGATTACACTATCTGTCTTTGCAGGTGCTATCTGAATCTTCTTCCAAAACAGGAGGTTATCGCCTCTTCAGCACTTATTCCAGGCAGTCTTCTGAAATGAAGCAAAGTGGCTTAGGTACTGTACTTGCCGTGTAACCAGCATGCTCACCTGTACCTCTGTATTTCTGTGGGCATCTGTCCCTCCACATATACATCCGGCTTAAGTTCCTTGTATGTCTGTGCGTGTGTATTATGTCTTCTTTTAGTGTTACTGTTTAGACCACTGTAGTGACTATCTTACTGTATTTCCTTTTGTGTATGATCTTCTCCTTCAGCTTCTAGCAGCCGAAGATGCACTTTTCATCCTTTATAGTATGGGAGCAACAGAGCAAGCTGCGTACTTGCAGGTTGGCCTTCTGGTTCCATGTTGCTATCGTTTATTATAGCATTTCTGAACTTAGTAGGAAGAGATGATTTTACTTGAGAACTCGTGTACTTTCTGTTCTGCAAAACAGTAGTTTACATGCAAAGCTGCGCTTCATGTAAGACTATTATATTTCTACCTTTGCTTCATAAAGATCTCTTGTATGGAACAGATCTGTCATCTGCAACGGTGTTTGACAGCTCTCTAATAAAACTGGAATCCCTGGTTAGCCATTCTTTGCATGGTAGCCAGTGGAAGAGAATACTTTGGGGCCCTTGGTGTTCTCTGCCTGCCCTTGAGAGTACCATTCCCTGTCATCCTAACCTAAACTACGTCTTAATAGCTTCCTGAAATATTTTTGGTAAAGCAATATCCATTTGGAAACCAAAAAGCTGGTTTTGCTGTCATGAGGTTCAAAGATAGCTGTGAAACCTAGATCTTGCAGATGACTAATAAGCACCAGGAGGTGGAAATGACCAAGTTATGCCCACTTTCTTCTTCTTTAAAACAGTTTTTGCATTATAGCATGGCTGTAGACTTGCAGAAGTTCTGACTCATCCGTTCTTTACTCTGTTATGTGGACATCTTGCAGCCAAGAGATTTCTGAAGGGCCTGATCATTTCTTTGTCACTTTTGAATGAGCTGCTTCTTTGGAAGCAAAGTCTCACCAAGTAAATGAAATTTTCTTCAGAGTGGTTAGGAAGTATCCCTGGAGTCTGCCAGCTATGCTCCCAGCCAGTTGGAAAAATCTTAAGAAGGAATGGCTGATATTATTTTCATAAAAGCACAATAGCCTTGGCCGTAGTGGTTTTTGAACGTGCTGTTTCATGTGGTGCACCTACTTACTTCTGCCTTTCACAGACCACCTGCAGGATTAAGTAAACTGTAATAGACTGCCTTGCTTAGGCTTGAAGAAACCTGTGGTTGTTCTGTGAATCTATGTGAATTAATGTGCGAATTTCTGAGATGGCATACAGTCAAGGAAGTGCATCTGCTTGGAGAATTACTGAGTACATCAAACGCTACATACAAACTATCTTTACTGTTTGGATGTCTGAGTACCAGAAGGCATGTGCTCTGGAAATCAGATATTACAGCCTATTTACTGCAGCCTTTTCCAAGTTTCTGATAATGTCTGTTTTGGCAATAGAGAAGACTACTACTCTGCTGGACCCTTGAACAGTACTACTTTTCCTTGACCAAATTTGAAACGTGATCCCAGCAGGTTTAATTTCAGATTCTTACCTGACTTGCCTTGCTGGGAAACCTGTGCTGATCATTCTCCCAACTGTGAAGCTCTGCAGAGACAAAAGTTTGAGCAGGAAGTAGTAGACCTGCTCTGTGACAGTTGACCTCTAGCTGGATGTTCAGTCCAGCCATCATTCTTCTCTGTGGCATCTTGCAGCTGCGGGTGCAGAAGGGTTGAGCAGGAGAGACCCATGGTGCAACACTGACTTGCACAGTCCCTGGTTATTAGGATGTCTGTGTTTCTGTGGATTTCTCTCAACCTGAGAACTGTTAAGAAGAATGATGCCTCTTTTACAGGTAAAGCCAAGCCCTTCAAGGAATCTTTGATTCCTTTCCTACTTGTTTTGTAGAAATTTAGTATCTTTCCCCTTTAGGATCTGAAATGTGTGCTCTCTGTGAGGAATAATATAAAACTCACGGGAGCTTCAACTTAGGCTTTAATACTTGTCTCAGCAGCTGTGCTATGAGGGGGTTCATTCAGATACCACTTGCTGTTTCTGAGCTTTTCTGAAATTGAGCCTATCTCCTGTTTCCTGACCTTGTCATGGCTGGCAATCATTACCTCTGGGAGAATGTCTGTTCGGGTATAACTTCATATGTTTAGGGATGCAGGAATGGGGGAGTAGAACATAGCTCCTGTGACAACCCTGCTGTCATACCCGCCAGAATTATCTTTACTGAAATTTGAAAAATGCCTTGAAATGTCAGAGCGGTACTTTGGACTATGCCATGTTTTTCTGGGCAGGAGCAAGTGCATCATTATGGATTGTCTACATTAGCATATATGCTTCTAGCTTGAGAAACCTAGGGAAGTTTCAGTGCCTTTCTTTGGTTGTAAGAACACTCCAAAATGAGGTAGAATTGCTCCTTGCTGTTTGAGCAATAGCAGTGGTATATTGCTGGTGGGCATGAAGCTTTGTGCTGAGACTCCCATAGAGAAATAAGGGATGTCCGTTTTTTAAACATTTGAAACACTGAATGTACATCTGAAAATTAAATACACAAAAAAGATCCAGCACATACAGTAATTTCTAGCAAATGTTGCTACATCTTAAATCCAAGTGGTTAGTATACCATTATGGTCTTCGGAGTGTGTATGTGTATGTGTGTGTGTTAACTTTGGTTACAGTGGTCTCCTAGAGTTCACTGTAGACAATTGCTGTTGTCCATAGAATCATCTTTGTAAATTCTCTTATGGCTTAAGGGTGCTAACAAAATGCCTCTGTCCACTGTTCTAGAAGAACCACTGGGGTATCCTTAGCTTAATGATTAGTGACAAGAGATTGTTCAACAAAGTCAGAAAAATCTTCTGTTCCATTTTTATCTGCCAGTAAATGAGTCTCTTGGGGTTTTTTTGTTGTTTGTTTGTTTGTTTTTAAGCCATGGAAGGATGATTAGGAGCATCATCCGGGCTGCTGCTTGTCAAAATTCTGTTTGCATTCTGACAGGTTCCAATTCATGCTGAGTCAGCACTGATCTTCAGCTTAAGGCATTTGTGAGGAAATTTTCTAAGGCTTGTGTATCAGTCACCCTGCAGGCAAGAGTTCTTTCCCTGTCTCTCCAAGGACACACGTGCTAGTCTGTCCTGTGGAAAGCTACCAGCAGTGTCATAGTGGTGGAACAGCTGAAATTCAGTGCATATGAGAACACTTTCGGTCATCCCCTTCTGTTCCCAGGAGCAGGTTTCATCAGTTCAGACTGAGCTTACATGTGAATAGCTCAAAACTCAGGATCGGTGCTTTCTCTAAATAAGTTCTGGCTAAAAAGGAGCTTTGCAGAGAAAGAACTGGGGTCCTGAAGAGCAGTGAGTGGACAGGAGGCAGCAGTGTGTCCTTACACCAAGGAAGGTCAATGGGATGCTTTGCTGGATTAGCAGTACAGCTGTCAGGCTGAGGGATTTGGTTCTTCCCCTCTATTCCCATTTTGTGAGACTGCCTCTGAAGCACTGCTGTCCTGTCCTGGGCTCCCTGGTGCAAAAGGATGTGGATGTACCGGGTGTGAGCCCAGTGAGGGTCAGTGGGGCTGGATGGGGGCTGAAGCACACAACCTTGGAGGGGAATCGGAGAGAGTAGCGCTTGTTCAGATCAGAAGCTGCAGGGAGTGGAGACTTTAATGCTGTTCAACCACCTAAATGGGAGGTTACATAGATGGCAGAGACAGATTGTCCTCCAAGGCATGTAGTGATAGGACGAGAACTAACAGACACAAGCTGCAGCGTGGGAAATTCCAGTCATCTATGAGGAGCAAGTTTTTCACCATGAATGTGTCAGATACTAGAACAGGGGTGCAGAGAGGTTGTGAAATCTCCTTTTTGGAGGTATTCAAAACTTGACTGGACAAACCCTAGCAAGTTGATCCAAGTTGACCCTGCTGGGGTGTTGGGAAAGAAGCCTCCAGAGGTTGCTCCAACTTAAATCATTCTAGGATGCTGTATTTTAGAATCAAGAGCTGCTTCCATTATAGGCAGGATCTTTTTAACAGTAGTAACAGTTGCACTGTTGCAGTTAAATACTAATAGACAGTATGTCAGGTTTTTTGCCTCGGTAGACAAGGTGGAATAAGATTGACCTGCTTGTTTCTGGAAGCCTTTTGTATGTGGGAGTAATGTTGTTTTTAGCAGTTGGTATTCTCAGTATAGAATGCAGCGTCAAGATGGTTTAGCAGAGAATTTATAGCCAATCAGTGGCTTTGACCCATAATAAGGTTTTGTCTAACTCACAGTTGCTTTCCTCAGTAGAAAGAATCCTGTTTCAAATGCCTAATATTCCCTAAATATCGCACACACAAAGTCAATTCACTCAACAGATCACTGTGCCTTGGAGAAGCAAACACCAGCAGTTGCCAAAGCCACTGGTATTAGATTGCCCTCCCATGCATGAGACTGTCTTGCATGCCATATTCCTCGCCATAGGATAAGCAAAGTTCCATGCTGTGTGTGCATCTGGTGCTTTGCAAGGGTAGTTCATGGAACAATTGGACCTACTCTGGAGTAGCAAGCCATGACCAAGTGGTTGTGAAATACCATCTGGGCAGCAGCTTGCGAAAGAAAGCTCTCTGGTCACATTGCTTTCCTTACTTCTTGACAGAGTGATTAATCCAGATTTGCTGATCAATAGATCAGGCAGTCCTTTCTTCTCAGTGTCCTACAAAAAAAGTTGCTTTCCAAAGAGAAAGGGCAGAAGAGCTGAGAAAAATTAAGCCCTGTGACCCGAGCATCAGTGATTTGACATCCTGGCTTTTCTGACATGAGTATGTAGATTTGCTGACTGGAGGGTGTCAGGGTGTTTCTCCTAGGTCAGGGCAAGAAAGCCAAATGGAAATAAACCCCTGGATGGAGTTAGAAACTTTCCCAGTGCTGAGTTTTGGGCTACCTGTTGTGCATTTGGCACTACTGAATTTAGAATGGGGAGTACTGGCTCCCAGTGTTCCCTGCCATAATTTTTTTTTCCTGAGATTGCCTGTGAAGTGGCCAGTTCATTCCTCATTCTTTGACTAACCCTGCTTTTCTGTAGTCGCATGCAGTGGAGATATAATACTAACACCTTCCATGCCTTTCCAGGGTCACAATGCACCGGCCTGTTTAGCACCACTGTGCTGGGAGGCTCCTCCAGTGCCCCCAATCTCCAGGACTACGCACGCAGCCATGGCAAAAAGTTTGCCAACAGCCTGACATACAAAGACGGTATGTGTGTTCCCCATGCGGCAGGTCATTAATTTATGGACTTTGGTGTCTCAGGATGCTACTGAGGCAAAGACTTAGACTGCTAAGAAGAATGACAGTTGAATGTATCCATTCGCCGCATCTATAGTAATGCATTTTATCATATCCCAAGAAATCGTGATCCTTGCTAGGACAAGACAGGAGCTGACATTGTGTGAGGAGTTTTACGCTGATGTACGGGGTCTAAGTTTCGCCTGACACTTTAATACTACTTGCTGTTGTGGAGAAGGATTTATTGGTCTAGATATTAAATAGGTTTGTCCTGGTATGGAAATCCAGTACATCACATCATCTTGCTTACTTTGGTGATTTTGCTGATGCTAAACGAAGCTTTTCTGGAGACAGTAATCTTTACCCTATGGAAGATGGAGCCATCCCAAAGGCAGAATGATATGCTTGGGGATGGATAAGATGGGTACTACAGTAAGGCTTAGGCGCACAGAAGAGTCTGAGGTAGCTGTCAGAAAGCAACTGTAGTATGCCTGAAATGCTTGAGGTAAGTGGGGTATGTGGATGAAATACTGCAAAAGGACCGGGAAGTCTAGTTATTTTGCAGTTCTGCAGAAACTGCCTTAAAGTTCAGCAAGACAATCAGGTAAAATGTATTTGGGTCATTAGTATAACTGTTGCCCAGTGCACATGGGTGAAGGGGTGTTGCCAGCTGCAGATCAATCTGCAGTTAGTACTGGTGTGTTACAGGCTGAGAAGCAGAGAGTGTGTTGCTACTTTCAGAGGAAGACTGAGCTATCCTGGAGGAGTTGGAGGGGTGTAATGCACAAGTGCAAGTGTCCGTTTTAATCCCAATAAGAAAGTCACTCAGACTTTGTCAGTACCGATTAACATACCATTTGTGGGAATGCTGAGTGGAGCAGCATTGAACAAACTGCTCTGTGGGTAGGATCTGCACAGCGTGCTGTGCCCTGCTTGGAAATCCATGTAATGTTGCACAACTTGGGCTCCCCAGCATCTGAATGGATGTAAGATTATCTGTCCACTCCTTTCTGTGTTAGTTCTAACAAATGGTATTTTAATCAATACTTTACAGAGTCTCAGTGCCTTTCTTACTGGGATCGTGACGACCACTGGCACTGGTGGATTGCAAGGTGGGGAGGTGATTAAGGCAGTAATTTGGGGCCTTTGAGGAAAACAGGAGGATGGTTCATTTGGATTTTTGTCCAGTTTTGAGGAAAGGAAAATGGCTTAGCAAGTCTTGGTGGAAAGATGCTATCCAATTCTCAGACCTGTTGGAGCCTCATGAATGCCATTTTATTGAGCCCCTTATGTATACTGGCTTTCTGTGTTGCTTTTCACTGATAGGAGAAAACTGTTGCTTCTTAGCTCTTTAGGGAGCTCTGTAGCACACAACGGGCTGTGAGTGATAGAGATGGGGGAGAGGGGGTGAACTAGGAGGATTTTAAATGCTTCTGTACTAGTCTGAGCTGCTCAAGGCAGCAAGTGCTGGCTACTCAGGTCTCAGAATAAACTCATAGTGTCACTGGGTGTGAATACCAGGAGAGCTGCTGAAAAGGCCAGCAAGGCTCTGGCTGCTTTTCTTCCGTAACTCTGCAAGCAGCATGAATCCAAGGCAGCACTAATTCTCAGGGAAAAGCATCAGACTGCTTGGTCTGTACACAGCTGGGAACAGAACAGATTCTGCTCAGTCCTGGTGCTGTGCTGGCTTTCTCTATAGGCTGTGTAGTAGGAGTGTGCCTGCAGCTGGCTGCTCACATTCAAGGTCCAAAGCGGAGTCCTGCTGCTTTAGCCTAAATTCAGTGACAAGATCTCTGCATGCTGACATGCAGTTGTACCCCCAAGTGCCTAGAAGGCAGACTTATTTAACTAGTATGTGACTAACACAGCCCAGAATTATTCATCTTGATGTTACACTTCTTTTTTTCATGTTTCTTAGTGTGCTGTGGCACCCTGTGCTACCAGCGCCTTGCTGCAATAAGAGCAATTGTGAGGAAGAAGGGGGGGGCTTGAAAAAACAAGTAGGAGGCAGAAGGATATTTAGCTTCTAGGGGAGGTAGTTTGGAATGTGAAATATGCCCTTGATCTGCATGTTCCTGCTTAAGTGAGCACCAATGAAATGCTGAACAATGGCATTTAAACCAAACATCACTAGAGCTAAATACAGGAAGTGACACAGCGGCTACAGCAGACTCTTGAAGTACATTTTCACAGTCATCGGGCTAATAATGTTAAAACCCTTCAGATTCTGGAACACGTCTTTGCATGAACTCTTTGATATTTTTTCATGGCTGTGATGCTTCAAGGTGTGGTGCATGGCTTATAGCATTTCATCAGAGACTTGCTCGAGTGAAGTTAAAATGGCCCTTATTTCTGAAGTCTTTTTTGTTTGGGGCTGGAAGAGGGCTGAGGAACACTTCAGTAGAAAGTTGCGTCCCAGTCTCGGGTTGAGGGAAGGGCCATTGGTCATTATGACTTGAAGCTGGCTTGTCTGAAGCCAGGGATCCGGTACACTGTACTGCAGTATCATTTAAATTCATGTGCTACAAAGGCAAGGGGGAGATGTGGGGTGGAATGGAGATAGTTACCAGCTGGGTGACTGCAGCTCCCGAACTTGGACACTTACACGGGATTGCATGTGTAGAGAAGATTGTCATGCTCTATTTGTTGAGCTTAAAGGAAGAAAACCAATTTTTAGGTCTGTTGGCAGAGGAAATTGCAGCAAGTTTGGGAGTTGGTTTAAATACATTATTTGGCCAAGTCAATGGACATAGCTAGAGAAGCACAATGGGGGTGTGGAGCATAAATTGATAAGTGTATCTCCTAACCTTGTTGTAGAGGGATAGGCATACAGACCCTATTGACTAGGTAGAATGGACACATGAAACATGAAAGAAATAAAAGCATTTTCTAGTATTTTCTAAAAGTTCCTAAATAGCAGCAAAAGGTCTGATTGGCTGGGGTCTCACATCAAATCCTACGTACAAATGGTCTGATTTAGGCCATTCTTTCCCATGATAGCTGAGGAATTTCCAGAGTGCGAATAAAGTGAAGTTTTCACATTTTCTTTTTTTTTTTGGGTGCGTATGGAGACTAATCCATGTCTTTTAAAGTTCATTTGTTTGCAGCCCACTAGATGCATAGAATCTGTCTTTGCACTGTGTTTCCAATGTGTGATTTCTATGGGAGAGCTTGGCCTGGCCTGGGACATGGCCAGGAGAAGCCCGAGGACCCCTCTGACAGCAGGTGTATCCCAAAACCTCTTCTGTACTGAAATGCTCTGAGCAGCAGAAATGTGGAGGCACGTCTTCATGGGTCTTCTGTTTGTTTCCTAATTAGTTGAGTTACCTTTAAACTCATCAATAGCTCTGTTTAGCTTGTGCTGAGAGGACGTTTCGAGCTGCACTCGCCTATGCCAGAGCTATTCAGTTCCTCTGCAGAACAATCCTCACTTTCCTTGGGCAGAGGTGAATCCTGAGAACTATCCTCTTGTGTTGCTGCTGCTTGCTTGGCCGTGTCCTCCTGTGCCTGTGAGCATGGCCTAACTGCATCTTGCACTGGACTGAGCCTGGGTTGCTCTCAGGATGGCTGGGAATGTGGTGGGAAGGTATGCCACGCTGTCTGTGACTGGGAGTGTGGCTGAGGTCTTTGTAGTGTCAGGGGGGGCCCTGGCAGGGCAGCGCGAGGGAAGTGGGGAGACGGCAGAGTGTGAGAGAGCAGAGAGGTTCAGTCAGACCCGCAAGCAGAGAGTTCCCAGGGTGCTGCAGCAGTGCCAGTGGGAGCATGTGTTATGGGGACGAAGAACCAGCTGAACCTGAGTGGGTAGTTGCAAGCGTATGAAGGTCGGGGGATCCTTAGAAGCGGGCTGTTAACTGAGATGATCTGTTTTTATTTCCTCAGAGCTCTTGTCTATGCCAGCCGTAAAACGATTTTCTGTGTCGTTTGCAAAGCATCCGACTAATGGTACGTTTGCTTCCTTGATTTGACGTTCCCTCACACTTCTAACCCCATGCTCACATTCAGTTCTCTCTGCACATATTTTCCTCTCAGCCTTCTTGTGGTTTTCTTGTGTCTGTGTATCTGGTCTCCAAACATACTTTACCTTCCTCCATTGTCTCATTGTGACTAACGTGTTCATTCATCCTCTGTTACTGCTCAGTGGTTCCTCTGCTGTCCCCCAAGGCATTTGTGTCCCAGGTGAAAAATCGAGCAGTGGCTCTGTGAATGGACTCCTAAGGCAGCCTTTAATTCCACTGCTGACATTAAGGTCTTCTTTCATGCTTCCTTTCAGGGTGGGGTGGGGGTCGGGGGGAGAATACCGTTGGAGTTGGGGGGCAGGGGTATCCACTCCGTATCCTAAGAGCATCAGCAGTTTGGGTCCTCAGTTTCTACCGTGCAGATTTGTAGGACCAAAGCGAGGATAGCCTGAGCCTACGTGTGTGCTACCTGGAAGAGCGTAGTCTATGGTGGGAGAGAAGTTGGTGCTAGCAGCGTTCCCTTTGCGTGTGATCTTCCTCAGCACGGTCATCTCGGGGGTACTGGTAACCTCATGGCCTCCTACTTGCAAATGTGTCTGTTAGGGTGGTCCCTTGGTTACTGCAAGCATGGTGTTGATGGTGGGAGTAGGCTCATCTTTCCTGCAGACACTTTCCTGGGAATGGTGTCTCCCCAGCGCTTTCGCTCGTCTGCTGTTGGGCTTGGGCCTGCTACCTTCCTGAGGTAGGAGGAGCTCGGCACCATGCCACCCACAGGGTGATGTGACCTGCTTCACTCCTGCCGTGCTCGTAGCTTGGTAAAGGATGCCTGAAAGTGCTTCTCTTGACTCACTGTCTCTGCTTCATCTTGATACTAACCTGACGCCTGAACTGTGAGTCTTTTGAGGTTAAAGACCACTAGCTCTGTTGTAGCAAGACTTGTTATCCAACTCTTGCACAGAAACTTTTGAAAAGGTTTGTTTCACAGCAGGACTTGGACCTCGTGGCTCCTGCTGTTGGGGCAAGTTAGAACCAAAGCAGATCACTGAAAGATACCAAGTTAAGTATTTCTATCTTATGTGATCAAGGCTGCTTCTGCAATCTTGTTGCTTAGTATATATGAAGACATTCTGCTCTGTGTGATCTGGAAGATGAAATAAGTTCAGAAGATTGTTAAGAAGACCAAAGTTTTGGGAAAAATGGAAGGGGAAGGGGCAGCTAAATGTGGCTTTATCATTTCAGATAGCTGAAGGGAACCTATTTTCTGTGTTTGCTTGGTTTTGTTTTTCCCAGAGTGGCCAACTGCTCAATTTGTCTGTATGTCTGGATGCTATCTGAGCTCACGTGGTGTAAGTCAGCAGGATGTGTTGTTTTATCTTGCCAGCAAAGCTTGTACCCAGCACCAGTCTTTCCTAAGCCACACTGTAAAGCAACTGCCCCTGCCCCAAATACAATGAAGTGAAACTGGGCATCACGTTTTTTCCAAGAAGTCAATGAATATATCTAATGTCAAAGTGCTCCTTAATCAAGAAAACAAAGGCAGAGGTCCAGCAGATGCGAGTTTGAAGTTAGGCATATTTGGTCTAGGCTTGGCACTGGTTTTAGCAGGAAGGATGTTTAGCCACATGAAACACTTGCCTGAGGATGAAAAAGCTGTTCACAGCTCTGAATCTGGATTTTGTTTCTGAAGAACTGCCTCTTTGTGGTGAAACGGGATGGGTGAACCAAAGCAGTGGCCAAGCACAGCATCAGACCAGATGGTATGTGCCCTGGTCTTGTGAGTATGACATGAGTCCCGAGGCTGTATACATGGAGGAGAAGACATGCCTGCATGCTAGTATCTTGTCTGTCGTGGAAGGTTATCACAGAAGATTGCACAGGGCTGTTCTGGGAGTCTAGAGAGGGGAGGTCGGCACTGCTGCGCCCCTCTGTTCTCCCACACTCTAAGCACTATGCTCTCAGTCAAACCCTGCTGTCCCCCAGTGTCCCTTTCACAGCCTCCGGTTGTTTGATGCTGGGCAATTTGCTTCCTTCCATGTGCTGAGGTGGCTGCTGTGTTTGGATGCAGGACTTGAATGCTCTGTTGGCAGTCTGGATTTCTTGTCTCAGCTGGGGGAGGGCAAGTGTGGGCCTGACCTTCTTATCTAGCCAAACCTGAATTGTATTCGTTTCGAAATGTGTCCTAAAATTTATTTGCATGTCAGACTTTCACTTACAAAGATGAAACCTGGTTGCTCAGGGACTGCCCCTGTGCTGCAGCTGCGTTTGGCAAAGGCTGGTCCGTGTGGGAGGCTGGCCTGCTACAACGTGGCTGGGGGCATGTAGATTTGATGGTATTCCTGAGCTGCTGGCTGCGGGAGGGATTTGGCTTCAGCATGTGGTGTGGGTCTTTCCCACCCAGAGGCCCCAGTGCTGGCTGCTCCATCCCCACTTCTCCACTTTCTCTATCCCCAGCTGCACCCGCCCCTCTCCTCTCACTCTCTATGGCCCCTTTCCTCCAGATGCGTTTGAGCACCACCACGTTGCCCAGTTGCTGCGCCGTTTTTCCTCTGACTATGCCACGAGCCGGAACATCTTCCTGGATGCCACTCTAGCCCATCACCTCCAGCAGTGCTCCTACCACCTGCGTCTCTTCAGGAGATGGCTGATCTCAGGGCAGGATGACTTGGAGTGTCTTTACGGTACCGCACGCCGCAGCTGCCTTGGTCCCATGCTCTTGTATCTGAGCAGGGACCACTGTCTGCTTGAGAATGCAAAGTATGCTTTGCTTCTAAAAAAGGAAAGCATTTCCCTCACTGCATCCCATAGATCTTTGGGCTGCTGCTGCAGCAAGCTGTGTGGGCTGTCGCACCCGGCAGTTTTGGAACCTGAGGCAGTAGCCTTCCCACATGGAGCCAGTGCTCTTTGCGTGGCTGTAACTGCACTCTTCTCATCTCTGGCAATTGTTTGTTGCCTCCTTCCTTTAGCCAGGGTAAACCCTTAAGCTTTTTTCAGGTTAGGTGCTGAGCTCTTATTGGTGTGATGCCCTGTTGACACGATGCCCCAGTGCAGGACTCAGTGGGGTGCCGTGAGGTGTCCCATTACTAATGGAGAAACCAAAGTGAGTAGTAGGAGTAAGGGAAGAAAGATTAGGGAGGCACTGCAGCAGGTCTTGTGCAGAATGAACTTCTTGTGGAAATTTTGGGGAAGTGGGTGCTTGTGGGACTGTACTGTTTCTAGAGAGACCAAGTTAAGACAGGGTAGAAACTGAGCTTCTGTGTGGCTGCATTGCATGGCATCTGTTCTGCCTGCTGGGACCTTTGCAGCGTGGTCACGTCTCTAGTGGGAAGAGGTAGGAGATGTCAGCACTGAATCTAGATGTTATAAATCAAAGCTTGCTACTGTTTCCCTGGCATTTTTCAGCCTCTGGCAGAGACAGGAAGACTGATGCATCGAGGTCTCAGTGCTTCTAAGACAAGTAGAAAGATTCCTATCTGAGAGGGGCAGCTAGCTAGGGGTGGCTGTTAATGTTTACCTTGCACCACAAAACCTGCTTGGTGCATGTGGCTTGCTGAGCTGTGTGGTGTGATGCATGGACCTCCTTTTTCATTCAGACCCATAGGTCGGAGGGGCAGAGACAATATAGCTTTTCAGGCAGTGAAGCGACAAGACCAAGCATTTTCAGAGCCTGGAAGATGGGAATTTTTCTTACATAATCTGTTTTTTTCTTGATACGGCCCTTTCTGTCAAGTAGGCAATTTGGAGACAGCAGTTACTTTTCATATATAATTAGGACAATCCTTGGTCTCCTAGCAACAAATGCTAAAGAGGAGCAAAACTGCTTCAAGGGAAATGATGCTGGAACACAGGAGGCTGCTCCAAAGCCAAAGCTGAGCTTCCCCTGCTGCAGATCTCAGCCGTCTCCTGTGAGCTCTGGTAGGGAGAGGAAATGAACTCAGTGCTTTGGGCAGTGATACGCCAAATATTGCAGCATGGTGCTGGGTTGTCCAGCCTGCCCTAATGCAGCCAAATGTATGAGTTACATACCTCAGCGTAGCAGCCTTCCTGGGTGGAAATCAGGCCTCTGCAATCAGTGAGTTCTTTCTTGCTGTTTTCTCAGTCTGTCATCAAGCCCACAGTTAATTAGCATGTTTGGGAATCCTGCTGGGGTTTTTCTCAGAGCAGACATTTCTTCAGTCTTTGTAGCTGACAGCCCAGCTTCCCCCCCCATGTGAAAACTACATACTCCTGTCCTCTCTTTCTTGGCTTGGAACCATACTTCTATCCACGTAAAGAAAACACGAAATAAAAGAGAATCAGGGAGTTAAAAGTATGCAGTTGGCATCCATAGTTGGAAAGATTGCTGGTTGAGCCTTGAAGCAATCTGTCAGGGAACCTGTGCCTATACGTGTGGTCATAGCTGGGAAGAAGAAGAGTGTGAAGTAAGTTCATGTTGATAAGGACTTGCAGTGGTACTGAAGCCAAAGGTCAGCTGTGAAGAAACAGAATGGCACTGTAATAACGAGGGGGCAGTAAAACAGGTGATGTTCAGTGTAAATAAATTTAAATTACAAGGGGAAACAGCCCCAGATTCATCCATAAAATGATGGGCTCTGATCTGACCATCACCACTTGGGACAATGTGGAAGAGGTAGAAATTTGCAGTATAGGCAGGATGTTTGTGACAGGGGTCAGAGTGGCCAGGAGAGGGGTGGTGGGGATCCACAGTTCAGTCTCTGTCCCAATACAGGAGCTAGCAGAGTGGGCAGAGGCAGCTTCAGACAGAAGTGGTTTTTCCCGCGTAGAGTGAAACTCCTCACCACAGTACATGGGGGTCTTAGGAGCTTCACTGAGTTCAAGGGGAGACTGGAGAATACGGAGGAGACACATCAGGTTCACAGCAGTTCTGAACTGCAGGTCCCTGGAGTTTGGGGGACTGTGTGGGAGAAGAGTCACTACATGCTGTCTAGTCTCGTACCCCTTCATTCGTAGCCACTTGTGGCACTGTGGGCAGAGAGGTGCTGAACTAGGACAGAACTTCAAGCTGACTGTACAGGCTTAAATTTAGAAAGGCCGGTTAGCAAAAATCCTAGTTCATGTACATACCATGTATGCATATTTAAATACATAAAACTATACATGTGGCATCTTGGAGTTCTCCCAACAAAATAAGGCTGGACTGATCAAGCATGTTAGAGAGGAACTTGCTGAGTATGCTTTCTCCCATGCCCTTCAGAACCTGTGCTGAGGCTGGGCAAGTGCTTCTTTATTCCAGAGGAGCTGGCATGCAGAGCTTTGGCATACAGACCTTTTGGGATGTGCCAGGTGCCATTGGTCTGCCTGTTGCTTTCAGCATCTCCATTAGAAAGGAACAGGCACCTTTTCCACTCCAGTGTACAGTTCACAGCTGGAGAACTGGGCAGTAACTTGGCAACTTCTGCTAATCAAATTGTGTGTAGTGATGTTCAGAACTCTCAGGCAAAAATGCAATACACAAAAAGGATGGCTTTGGATCGGAAGAGCTTCTCACCTGAGTCTTCCTTGACCTCTGTCTTTGTCTTTTGGCTGACAACAGTTTGGCTGCTTTCTACTTGCCAGCCTGCTGCAGCAGCAAGTACATTCTCTCTTTTAACGAGCCCACTCTGCTAGTACAGAAGCTTGCCATATTTGGGACCTCAGCCCAATCTTAGTAAAGCTGAGGAACATGCCATTTGGACTACTTGAAGACTGCTCCTTTGTTATGCCCACTAGCCAGGAAGTCTGCTGGCTCCCAGGTGATCTGCTGAATTACCAGCTCTGAGGGATAATCACACCAATGCTGATTTAATTCTGGGGCGAAGCATGTGTTCTGTATAAACTCAACTTTCCCAATTCATATTACACGGTAGGCTTTCTTCTTGTCTCTCTGGTGCATACATAGACTTTATGAAACTTTGTGTTACCTTGGTTCAAATTAGATGTTTCTTCTTAATGAAATGGTTTTAATTTCCTCTTGAGGGTTTAGACTGAAACATCTCCTAGAGTAGTCAAGAAGATGCAAATGAATTCAAGGTCTTGTTTTCTCCCTTGTTCTTCCCTTTTCCCAGTATAAAAATCTGTTTATTGTAGCTCTGCTGCTAACACCTTCGCTTGAATTTTCTTTCAGACCTCAGGGTGACTGAAGGAAATACTGCTAAATGGATGAAAGTACCTGTTGCATCGGAAGGGAAAGAGAGGTCGGGTAACACAGCATATAGGGTTCGCTCAGAGATCTGTAATATATTTGTTTGGCATTCAAGCCACGTAATCATAAAGTAGATGTTGGCTATTTCATAATTCATCATTGTGTAGGCCAGGTAAAAAGGTGGTGTTTCTTGACTCTTTCTTTGAAGTCATCTGCTAAGAGGTAGCTGTTCACAGGATTTCTACCTGGGTGTTCCTACTGCCTGCTGGAGCCTCCTAGAAATCTCGGACTCTCTGGTTTAGGTGGAAGATATGAGACAGGTACAGGTCTCTGTTTGCTTTATATGGTATAGTGTGCTAGATGATCTCTGCAAAAGGGTCCTTATAACTGTAGTCACCTTCTTAATACTCTTACAAAGTGTTACCTGTTGGTAACACTAGGCAGCTCTGAAACAGTCTTACTCTAAGGGGAGATTCACTTCCTCCTTGAACATCTGGAAGACTTCTTCATAAACTGTGCTTATGCTGAATAGGCTCTGGCAATGTGCAGTAAAGTGTGCACATGCCAAGATGGGAAGCTCCAGGGAGAAGAGCTCAAACTGGAACATAGTTAGCTCAGCTGTGATGTGAATGGGCCTTCAGCTTTGACATCAGAGTGCTTGGGAGAGTGAAAACAGGACCTGTAATCCTCTAGCTGGGTTGTACCTCTGGTGCTCTCACCTGCAGAGTGGCTCTTCAGGCAGAACCATTCTCCCTGCTGCTGTGTCAGGATGTTGCTGCAATGATTCCGAGTGGAGGTTCCCCCATAGCTGCTTCCCCACATCACACAGTCTCCTTGGACATCCAAAATAATACATACTCATCAGACTCCTCTGCCTTAAGCTTTTTCCCTTGACCAAACCTTGTTTTCTTTACTCTAACAGATGGTTTCTTCCTGTTTTACTGAACAAAATTTTGGAGATGTAACCATGCTGTACTCCTTGCTGGGAGAAGACGACAGTGGACTTTGGGATTCATTTTTAGCTACTCTGGCCTGCAGACCCCTGCCATCTGCCTCTCCTTGCAGGGCAGACCTAACTGTGGAGAAAGCTGATTGCCTTCTGCATCTGTGATGCAGCTAGAGTAGTCAAACCTGAATGAAATGAAAGATGAAACTTGTTCCCCTGCGAGCTGTTGTTTGACTTTGTTACAAAAATGATGGAATTCTAATTTCTTGTGCTGTTGTCCAAGTCACAGACTCCTGTCCTGCAGGACCCAGGAAAAGAGTTTCAGGAAGCATCAGCAGTAGCTGAGCAGTCAGCACTGGGTCACCGTCAGGCTGGAAAGGTGCCTGTGGTTTGCACTCGTGCTTTATTTTTGTTGTCCCTTCCCAAAGATGTCGGGTTTTGGCTAAATGGGTGTGGTGCAGCAGTGGTGAGAGCCTTTGCTGGGGACTGTGGCTGCTGCTGTGGTACATGTAAGGATTACGGTTTGTAGCAGTAACTTCTGCTTTGGCTCTGCTGTGGCGGCAGGAAACTGCTGTCGTTGGCCTCTCCCTAGCATCTAAGCAGGTCAAGGGAGGTGTGCAGGGCATTGGGCTGCCACGCACAACTGAGAGGGATTCCTTGAATACAGTAGTGCTTCATGTTGAGAAGGGAAACTTACCATCCCCATGTGGCTGTTTAAGTCTTGCCCTTGTCCTTTTCCTTTATCTCCCAGAATGCCTATGAGAAAATAATGAACAGATAATCTTCCTTATTCAGCACTTCCACTCTAAGGGCTTCTCAGAAACAGACAGAAGAGTATGGTATTTTTCCTGTGTCTGACATTCCTTCATCCTAGCCAAGGATTTCTTATTCTTCATGTTTTGAATTGACATTTGTAGGCTCTCTGTGGCATAAGTAACCTCTCAGGACTGTCTGGAGGGTTTTTTATCTCCAGTGGCTGTTACGGCAGTGAATGTCTCTGCAGCACTGCAAACTGGTGATGATCTGGTCTGCAGCTGCCTCACTGCATGTGGATTCACCATCCGCTGGCTCATGATCCTTGCCTCTTGCAGAGCTGGGTTAGATGAGTGGATTGGAGCAGAGACTGTCGCGGAGGTGACTGGAACAATGACTACACTTAGCAGTTAATCTAGGTGTCCTAGGTTGTCTTCTTAGGTGCTTTCAAGCTGCAGGGATCAATTTTAGCCTGTCAGTGTGCTGGGCAGAAATCCCGACACAGTAGTGAATCAAGAGCTGTTGTACTTTTTGCATTTCAAAGTAATTTTCCTTCTCTGTAGGAACAAATCCAGTTCCTTCCCAGGGCCTTCTTGAGCTCCTTGGAGAGAGCTAGGGAGTGACAGAATGGGAAGCCTAAGCTTAGGAAGTCTAGAGGCCCTTAAATTCAAGAGGTGCAGAGCAGGAGGAGGCCTCATTCCCATATGCCCAGCAACTCATTTGTTTCTTCCTTGTTCCTCTGACAGTTTCAGGTTGGCTTGGTTCCACAAAGCATTGGCAGGAAGCTTGGATGAAGAGGAAGATGCTTTGCTGTAATGCTCCGCTGGCTTGAGCAGCAAAAAATTTACTGTGAATGGTTGTGATGCAGCTTAGCTCTGAACAAGTGTCTGTTAAATGTTGAGATACCTATTTCTACTAATTCTGGGTTTGCTGGCAGTGAAGCCTTGTTAAAGGGACAAATGATTCAAACTGTTGCCCCAGCCCTCCCTTGGGATACAGTCTGTCAGGCGTACGCTGGAGGGTCTGCTGTGAGAGGGAGAGGGTCTGCTGCTCCCTGCGTTTGTAGCAGTGTGCACTCCCTCGCTGACGGGGAGTGGGTGGCCTGTGTCCCAGGCTGGGGTGTCACTAGTGGTGGTGGGACTCCTATGGAAATTCTGTTGACTTCACTCAAATTCTGTTTAGCTTCTGTAAAGTGTGGGCACTGTGCCAAATTCTCCATCATAACCACGTATTTTAGCAAAAGGGTCACAGGCTTTGCAGCAAACGTGGCTGCTGCTAGGTACGTTTCCTTCTCTTCCCACTCCTTCTGCGTGTGCCTGGACGCTTGCTTTCAGGTCTGTTATTGCATGTGATTGCCTAGTGGCGATTTTCTTGGCCTAGAAGAGGTGACCTTAGGCCTGAGTGTGCCTGTTGTTTGATTCCCAGACTGCCCAGCTCCTTCAGCCATGAGTGGCCCTGCATGGATTTAGGTTGCTGTTTGCTCTATTCATTTTCTGATTGGGTTTCTTTCCAGGTTTTGAAGGCTGTTCCATGGTTCCCACCATTTATCCCCTGGAGACCCTGCACAACTCCCTCTCTTTGCGACAGGTCAACGAGTTCCTGACGGCTGTGTGCAGGAGCTGCAGTGAATCCCATGTCCAGTCTACCGCAGGTACTGGTGAGGTGGGCTTGTCTCTAGGTAAGCCAGACAGAGTCAAGGCAAGGAGAACTTTTGGTCTTTCACATTACCGGGACAGAAGGCTTGACAGGACTGGCAATAAGCGCCGTCTCTGAAACCTGTTCCAGGGTGTTCTAGCCCAGGAGTGAGCTATGGGATCCACCTCAGAGCCATCCTAGGCCACTTACTTTAGAGACAAGTAATTGCTCAGGTCTTTCTGTAGCTGATGAGTATGGTGACATGGATACAAACTCCAGCTTGTGAAATCTTAATCTCAGAATCCCAGGAGCTGATGGACAGGCGTGGCTCTGAATTTGCGCTGTTCTTGAGCTCTTCCCAGAGTACCTGCTTGTGGCTGTTGGGCTACAAGCCATTCCCTTATCTATGTCTGAGTATTACTCATCAGTGTGTTTTTTTTTCTTGAAGCTTTGTTCGATTCAATGATTGGCAGCCAGATACCAGGAGACCCCTTTATGTCCCAGCGAATCCTGTCATCGTCCTCTTTGCCATTGCGTCAGCGTTCGGATAAGCCCCCGTGGTGTGAGTGTGCTCCCTTCTTGATCGGGGTGAATGTGATGGTGAGGGAGGGAAGTAAAGGGTGCCAAATGGTGGGAGCCAAGTATTTGTGCTCAGGGTTTCTACGCTCTGCCCTTAAAGGAACAGAAACAGAAAGGGGAAATAGGTGAAAGGGAAAGTAGTCATATGCCCTGTGAAAAAGCTTCCAAACAAAGATGCAAAAAGGGACTCTGTAGTATTGATTACCATGGGGACATCTACTGCTGGATGGATGCTGTCTCTCCAGACATCCTCTGCTTTGTGCACGAGGATGTGGAAGGCCTGAATGCACCTTTTTCCTCTCAAGTTTTGTGATTCTCCATGACAGATGGCTAACTCAGTGCCGGCATGTGGAAATGCCTTCTTTTCCTAACAGCCACATATATGCCTTACCAAGAGCTCCGTACAGGACAGCCTGTCATTTAGTTCTTCACTTACAGGCTTTTCTGCAGCTCCTGGGCCTTCCTTGTCACAGTCTCTGCAGAGCTGGTGACTGTTGTTAGTCCCGTTTGCAGATCTGACTGGGACTCAAAGGGGAAGGGGCCAAAAGATGCACAGCAAGTGCCTTAATAACGTAAGTCAAGGTTGGCACTGAAAGAGCAGTCTGGCTCTTCTCCTGGCTGTACACTTCTTGTGCTAAGAGTAGTGTGTGTTTGTGTAGGCAGCAAGGTCGGGGAACTGATCTGACTGAAAACAGTTGTTTAATCCTCCCCCCTCTATTGGATTAGATATAATCCAGATCTGTCTTCTAGTTTTGCTCATTGTACAATATAAGACAAGAATAAGCATTATTGGAGAAGCAACATTTCTTCTTCCAGTGGTGACTGTAGCTCAGCATTCAGGGACCGTGTGTGTCAGGAACCAAGAGGAGCGAAATTGAAGCTGAGAGTGTTCCATAATAACGAGGGAAAGAAAGAAACTGCTTTTCAGCTCAAAGCCCAACATCACACTTAACATTTTGCTCTATAATGGCAACAGAATCCACTCTTGGCTGTATGCCAGCGTAGCACTGTATGACAAGATATAATTGTGGTGTTTGTGCTTGGGTTTTCATCAGCTGAGCTGCCAGAAACACGCCAGGTTGCGTGGCATGTAGATGACCTTCACCTGTTGTTTTTAGAACTGTGGGACTGTGACAGCTTGGGGCAGCCTGGACTTTGGTCTGGGGAAATATCAACTAAACATACAAGATTTTTCTTCCTCTTTGCAGACAGCAGTGGCCCCTCCAGTACTGTCTCCAGTGCAGGCCCATCCTCCCCAACCTCTGTGGATAACTGTGCTCGTTTCAGCTTCACTGAGAAATTTTCCATCAGTCCCCCAAGAAGTGAGGAGCAGCTGACTAGCCAGTCCCCTGAGCAAGAAGAGAGACAGCCTCCAGGCGCAGGGCTTGATGTGGAGGTGGGGGTGTCAGGGTTGTTGGTGGCAGAGCCAAGTACCCTTGAGACCGTGACCTGGAGCAAGGGCCCAGAGACAGGCAGGGTGCTGGAGCTCTGCAAGAAGGAGCTGGTGGAGGAGGACTCTAACCTGGAGGAAGAGAGCACGGTGGAGCTGGATGAAGAAGAATCAGCTGGGGAAATGGTAGAGCCAAGTAACACTGGGAACCCAAAGCACGATGCAGGGTCTGACATAAGGCTGGCTGGGGAGAGCGTGAGGCCAGATGAGGGTTGTGCAGGGGGAGTGACTGGCCTGGAGCAGTCAGGGCTGTCCGAGGAGATCTTGGTGCCCTGTGAAGAGGAGCTGCTGGGAGAGGTGTTGGACCCAGAGCACGTGGGCACGGAGCTGGTGGGGGCCAGTGCTCTGCCAGGCCAGCTTCTGTCTGGTCACCTGTGCCAGGGGCAGCCACTGTCTCCTGAGAAAAGCGTGGAGGAGCTGCAGCCGCTGTGTCGGGAGGATCAGCAGAATTAGTGGCTCACTGGACAGAACACCGCAAGCGCTTCTAGCCTGGTGGCAGCCCAGCTTCCTGCACAGCACCTCATGCAGCTGGCCGGCTGCAGCACAGAACAAGCCATGTCCCAAGGTCACAGGACTCTGGAGTGTGGAAGAGGCTTCTCTGCTCCTCCGCAAGCCAGCTCTTTGCCATTTGGCAAGAGACAACGCCCCATCTGCCTTGTTAAATGAACAACAAATGCAGTCTTGGTACTGGCATGGCACCTTCACGGAGCAGGGACATGGGGCTGCACTGGTGTCCCAAGGGCTGTATGCTCACTGGGACAGCAGAGGTAGAGGACTGGTGCAGCCAAGGCTTTTGGGGTGGTAAGTCCAAAGGGGACAGATGCTCCCTTGAGATTTTTTGGCCCATAGCCTTCAGAGAAAGGCATCCTGGGCCCAAAGTAATCAGATCCATCACAACCACCAACCTCCTCTCTGTTCCTTCCTTCTTCCTCTCTCAATTCCCACCACTGGACACCAAAAACAGGTCCAGAGAGTCCATGGCAGGAAGACTAGGAAAAGCAGAAAGCATTCTGAATGAGTGTGGGAAGGAGATTAATGAGGGGATAGGGTTCAAGACTGCCACTTGCAAGAAAATGACTCTGGCATGAACTTGGATGTTTTCCTGCTGGGCTGGGGCAGGCAGGCAGGAGCGGGGGGATCCAGCCTGAGAGGTGAGCAGGGAGGACACACACGGGTTTTTTTTTCTAGTCCCCAAGGGTCAGGCAGGGTACAGCTCTGAAGTCTTGGTGGCGGAAATTTAAAGAAACTGGTATTTGAACAAATCAGGATTATTAGAAATCAATAAGGAGAAATCTTTATTATATATAAAATGAAAAGTATTTAATACGTATTTATGTAAATGACTCGTGAGCACAAGCCTGAGGGCGAGCTTGACACGGGTGTCCCTGCTGCATCCTGAGTGCAGGCCAGGGCTGTGCCTCCTGCGCCTCCTGTATTTATGGACAAGTCTGCGTGTTTGTCTGTAGCTAGGATCTGTGTTTTTGTGAAGCTGTGCCCAAAGATCTCCACGCTGTGTTGTGATGATGTGTGTTCACAGTAAATCTATGCTGTGGGTCTGGTGTCTCTCTGTCTCTGATGCTGACTTGCACAGCAGTGTGTGTGTGCCAGAGCTTGCAGGTGCCTGGGACAGCAAGCCCTACTTGTTCTCTGCCATCCTGGAAGAGGAACTGTGCCTGAAGTCACAACTGAAGCGACTGCACAGGCATGGGGCTTTGCTTAAGAGGGCCAGATGCCTCTTTTTTTTCCTCCACAGAAGAACTGGTCATACTGGGGAAGAGGTTCTGGCTTCCCAGGTCCAAGGATGGTTTGCAGTAGAACAAAGACAACAGGGCAGCGTTTGCCTCCTTTCACTTGGTCCATACCTCATCAGTTCCAAGTACGTCCTGGGTCCTGTGTCCTCTTCCTCATGCCTGATAATCCCTAGCTGCCAGTTTGGGTATTTAAGAAGGGTCACATTTACTTGCGCTTGAAATGCAGCAGTCGCAGCCGCCTTGAGTGCAGCACTGTGCTAGGAGGAAGCCTGGCCCCCCTCTTCTACAGCGTTGCTGCTCTCGTGAGGATGTGTTCTGGGAGAGGGTCCTGCCCGGTGCTCTGAGGAAGCCCGCTGGCTTTCACTGGCAACCCCTGGAAGCACAGGTTCCTTGGCCGGTGCCTGTGGGGCCGAGGCCACGAGCCTGCAGCATGCCTCTGCCCCAGCTCGGGATGCGGGGATGCGGGGGGCAGAGCAGCACCAGCTCCCACTTGCGCCTGCGGGCAATGCCCGACCCCCCCATGCCCCCCACACCCTCCCAGGGCCAGTCCTGTGTGGTACCCGTCACCGCCAGCGCCGCCGGCCACCGGAGCTGTGTCTCCTGCCAGGATTTGCACGTTTCTGTCAGGGAGGCAGTGCCCACTTCGGCACCCAGGGAGTGGACGTGGCCCGGGCCTGGGCAGGGTGGTTGCCCTGCGGGACCAGCACTGTGTGCTGTCATCGCTGAGAGGGGCGTGAGCAGGTCGTGGAGCAGGGTCTGGTGGGGCCAGAGCCTGGCTTTCAGGTGCTTATCTCCACACAACTGGGAGTTTGTTGCTTCTAGGGCCCTGGAGCCTGCTGGTGGGATGGCTTTGCTGTGTATAAACGCCTGGCAGATCTCTGCCTGCTCCCTCTGTGCTGCAAGAGAATGGCCGGGGGATGCTCTCAGTGCCAGCTGCCCTCCTGCCAAGCAGCACAGAACACAGACTAGGCACGGGGAGCCAGAGGGCACTTTGTGGCCGGGAACTCTTGTCCCCAGAAAGCAGCTACTGGCTGCAGCGTCCTTGGGCTCTGCGGCTTGGCAGGGGCTGCACGCGTGCTGTGGTGCCCCTGCCCAAGAGCTGCTGCTGCGGGATGTGCCGCATCGGCCAAGTACAAGAGTGGCCTTTCTTGCGAGGCTCTGAAAGCCACATTCGGCAAGAAGGGATGGCTGGGTGCTATAGTAGTTGAATTCCTGGGTAGGTTGCTGCCACTCACAAGAACCACGGTTAGTTATAATGTTCCCCAATCCTCATCCCACTTCACCTGGAAATGAAAAAGGAATGATGCTTGGGAAGCAGCTAGCAAGCTGTGGCTCTACAGCTCAGTGAGAGATCGGGCCCAGGAGAGACCCTAAAGGGGCTTTGTTGTGATGAAAAATACAAACCTCCATATCCCTAAGTTGAGAATATTTCTACAAATTCTAATTGGTGTCTAATTTCAGCTTCTGAACATACCTTTTGGTTGCTGGAGTCCTCTAGTCAGAAATTACCTGACTGCATTGGTACTTTGCATACTGGTAATTCTGTGAAGTTTTGTTCTCCAGATAGTTTGTACAATCAGAGGGCTTCCTGATGCAGGGCAGAGTAACGGAGAGACAGCCTGGTCACTTGTGGCTAGTAGCGCTTACGCTGCGGAAGCAAATGTCCTGACCTCAAAGGCAGGTACTGTCCCACAGCCAAGAAGAAAGCTGGGCTGCCTGCAGTGGTGTAAGAACTGGCTTCTAGTTTGCTCTTTTTGATAGGTAGGCCAAGACAGGACAGTGCCCTTTATTTTAAAAGAGCTGCTTAATAGCTGCCTCTGTTGAGAAGTTTGTGGTCTTTCATGATGTTCTAACACTTCCAGATGAACACCTGCAGAGTGTGTTGTGAAGTCTGAACGCTGGCCATCTGCTCTTACACAGTGTCTTTACTGTGTTTTTATTGGCTTAGCAGCAGCAGCAGTGATTAATGACAAAGCCCCTTCCAAACAGAAGGGTGGTGTAAGAAAGCGCTGTGAGTCACAAAGGAGGGAAAAAAGGACAGTTGCACAATTTCAGGATACAATGGCAGGAGCTGGTATTTTTGGCTTAATCCTGCCAAAGCCAGTTCTGGCTCCTCAAATCTATGCTGATGCATAAACGGAAGTTTCAAATGCTTTTGGGCTGCATAAAAATTGATATGCTCAAATGGCTGCTGCGTGGTTGTGCATCTCTGGCTGGGTATAGCTACAGACTTTGCCTGCAGTAGCTGGGATGGTTTGGATCAGGCGTGTCAAATCCCTGGCAGATGGATTTAAGCAAAACTCTTCTCCTGAATTGTCGTCGCTGTGTGCAGTGGGAAAGCAGTATAGACAAATGGGTCCAGGTTGTGTGGCAGAACAGGCAAGAAATGCCAACTGTCCGTACCAAGTAGCTAGAGTATGGCAATGTCTTGTGTAGGCTGTGGAAGTGACAGGTCCTCTGTCAGTCAGCATGTACAGTCAAAGTCCTTGGAGCTGGAGAAACCGTCAGGTCGGACGGCATAAGGAGGCTTTGGGCCTTTGGCGTGGCAAGGTCCAGGCAGCCCTAATTGTCGAACCCAGACCAAACTCAATCTTGCTGCTGTTGCCTTGGACACTCCTCTGGCTCATCACTTTGCAAATACTGAAGGAGATGACTAAGGGAAGGCCTTGTCATTGCCTTGCTGGGCCCTGTCTTTAGCTTATCTGTTTTTCCGTTTTCCCCACGAATTACTAGCCCTCACCTCCCCGAGTCCTGTGCAGCAAGTGATGGGCACAGCCGACCAGCCGAGGACAGCTGGTTTGTGTTCTTGGTGCAAGAGTCCCGTTCCCCCCCCGCCTCCTGTGGTACAGGACTGTTGGCTCTAGTGCTGCTCCGCTGATGCCTGCTCTGTTTGCTGGCCATAGGGGAGCAATAGACCCAGGAGTTTGAAGGACTGCTGCTTGACTCTTCTTGTTTGAGTTGAGAGAATTCCAATTTGTCGCTGAACTGTAGCCCTGGCAAAGTCACAGGAGGTCTGGGCTGATCCAGTTCCTGCTTTGGAGGTCTGGGCTGATCCAGTTCCCCCTCACAGACACCTGCCCATGGATCAAGACTGATGCTTCTATCCAGGTCTCACGGTGTAATCCTGCTCATTGATGGAGGAGCATTACTTCCTCAGGACATGCTTGCATGACTTACACCACTTCCCTGCATGCTACCACTTGTGTTTTCCACTGCAGTGACCTGACTTTGCTTCCCTTCTCCTGCGGAACAGCCTGAAGTAGATGTGTTCACCACAGCCTGCATGGTCTGTCTCAACACCTGGCCTGGGAGCTACGCTCTGCAGGATGGTGCTGACTAGGTCCTCAGACTCCCAACACTACACCTTTGGGAAATGCGTGCACGGTCACAGCCTCTCAGTTAGCAGGAGCATGGCCATAGCTGTATGCTTGTTTATCCAGCAAGCAGCTGTGGAAATAGCTCCTAGTTTATGGTAATTGTTTGTGGTTCCTCCCCTGTCAATAACAGCTTTGGCGTCTGCCCTGAGCTCTCCGTGACATGCACAAGCTGTGGTATGCTTTGTGGCCACGATGGCCTCTCTTCTGAGGGTTGTAGCCCAGGACCCACTTTCCTTTTCCTCTGCATTTGACTGTGCCGTTGTGTTTCCTGCTGAGGACACCCAGGCAGGAGCAGAGCTGACTGGGAATCCGCCTCTCCTCACTGCTATCCAGCACACGCAGAGCAGAGGGCTGCCGTCCTAGTTTTCTGCTGAACAGCTAGCAGAGCTGAAATTAAGTGACTTCCCCTTCAGGGGTTGGCTTGGAGTTGTGCAGAGGTACAAGGGCCCACTGTTGCAACAACGCCAGGCAGGGTGTGATGGCCCACAGGTGCCCGGCTGGCCGCAGCCCCCGAGTGGGGTCCCTCATGCAGCTGCGCTGGCTGGCAGCGGGCGTCTGGCCGAGCACCGGGATGCTCAGCCTCCCCCAGGGCCAGGGATGCTTCCCGTTCAGGGAATGCCGGTGGAACTGGTCAGAGCTGCCGTTCCCAGGAAGCGTGGGGACAGGCAGAGGGCCGCAACGGAGGGCACGATTCAAGACCTGGAAGGAGCTGCAGCGTCAGCAGGACGGGCTGTGCTGGGCTTCACACTGCAGCATTACGGGCTGCACCCCTGCCTGGGCAAAGGCCCGGAACGTCCTCCTGAGGGGAGGTATCTGGAACTGTAAATCGCCCTGCCGGGGCCAAGGAGGGAGGGGTGGGTGTCCCGGGCAGGCTCGGTGCCCCTGACGTGCGCGCCCCTTCCCCGGGGCCAGAGGATGTTTTAGCAGCTGCCCGTGAAGGTGTGGTGTTGGTGGAAACGCTGGGGCTCCTCTGAATGCATCGGCTGGGAGGCAACTGGCCAGCACTGGAGGGAAGGTATGGCCACAGTGTCTGTGAACCCCCTGCCTGCAGTATGGACTCACTCAAAGAACAGTTTGAAACCGTTGGAAGTGTTCTTGATCGCAATTAATGTGGCTTTATTATTGATGTGTTGGGCTCCTCTCTTGACAGCAGTTAGTTACAGAGTGTTTCACATGGAAATGGGCAAAAGGACAGAACTCAAGGAACTAAATTCAAATAGAAACATGATGCTGAAGAAAAGAATCAGGGCTCTGTTCTTAAAACATTTAGCATAGAAGAAGCTAGGAGCACAACTTGCCATTTCAATACAGTTAAGACGTTCACTTTTTTAATTATAGGTTTAAAATAGTATTTTGTACCTATTACATACAGGAAGATTATGCATTGTTGCCCACATGCAGAAACAAGCAAAAGCAGAGTTTAACT